TATATATAATAATAAACTATAAATAATACTTATTATTTTAATATTAATAATATATTATATTATATAAAATATAATATAATATTTAATAAAATATATTTTTTAAAAATTAGAATTATACTTTTAATCATTCTTAGTCAGACTAAATTAGTTACTTTAGTCACTTTAGTTAGATTAAAGTTTTAATCAGACTAAATTAGTTACTTATAGCTTTGATTAAGATTAAATTAGTTATTCACTTAAGTGATTAAGATTAATTTAGTTACTTACTTTTCTGATTTTTAACTAATTTAATCACTTAAACCTGTGACTAAGACTAAGACTAATTTAGTCATTTATAACTAAGATTAAGACTAAGTGATTAAATTACCAACCCTGATAATAATAATACTTTATATAAATGAACTATATTAATATATTTACTAGGGTTAGTAATTAATTAAATTAAAGTGACTAAATGAGTGATTAAATTAGTCTTTAGTCACTTATAGCCGTGATTAAGACTAAATTTAATCACTTATAACTAATTGCTTTAAATAGGTCATATAAAATTAAAATTTTAACCTTTCCTTTTTCTGTTTAAAGATTAAAATACTACTTAAAAAGGCGGTTATTATGGTATATTAAACTTTAAATACGAACTTATATTAGATTTTTAAAAGCCTTAGCTAAAACTTTAGTTTAATTAAATAATTAATTTAATCACTCACTCTAACTAAGACTAATCATATATAACTTAACTAAATTAATCACTTATAGCTTTAACGAAGATTAATTTAATCACTTAAACCTATGATTAAGATTAAGATTAATTTAGTTACTTATAATTAAAATTAAAATTAAATAATTAAATTATTAACCTTGATATTTATTATAATACTTTATATTATATATTTATATATTTAAACTTTTATTTTATATTTAATTAATAGATTAATTATATATTAAGTTAAGGATAACTTAATTAAAAAGAAATGAATAATTATTATATTATAATATTTTAAAGCTCTTAAAATATATATACTTTATATATATTATATACCTTTCTTATATATACTTTAAAAGATATTCTTCCCTTTTTTAAGCTTTAATTTTATTAAATACTTATTATAAAATTAAAGAGATTTATAATATTATACTTAACCTTTAAGATTTAACCTACCTATAACACCCTTTATATTATATTATTTATTAATATATTCTTTATTTTAATAAAAGTATCCATTTAAACCATTACCAGCTTAAAGTAACCAGTATATAAGGTTTATAGGTTTTTTTATAGGAGGTTATCAATAACGCTATTAATAACATTATCCTTAAACACTGTCCTATCCTAAGACTATATCTTAAAACGTATGGTTAATAATTAATTAAACTAAAGTGATTAAATAAATGATTAAATTAATCTTTAATCACTTATAACTGTAATTAAAACTAATTTAATCATTTAAACTAGTAATTAAAATTAATTTAATTTAATTAATTTAATTATAATTAAGATTAAATTAATCTTTAATTAAATTAAAGATTAAAGATTAAAATATTAAATTGTTTAATATTTAATATTACTTTTTATTATTTAATTTAAAATAAAAATTTAAAGTATATATATATAGTTATTATAATTTAATTTTTATAAATATATTATTAAAAAGTTTAAAATTAATAACTTTAAAAATATAATATATATTAATAAATAAAGGTATAATATTAATACTTTTTATATAATAATAAGGTTAAAAATTAATAATACTACTATTATATATAGTGTAATAATAGCACTTATTAATACTAATATAGTTTAATATTACTATTATTAAATACTATAATAGTATTACTATATACTATATATAATATTACTAATTTATTAATATAGTAATTTTTTTAAATATAAAAATATATAATTCTATTATTATTAATAATTAATAAGTATAAAAGTATATAGAATTTTATAAAGTTTTATACTTATTAATTATTATTAATAAAGAAATTAATTAAACTATTATTTAACCTATTAATTTAACCATTGATTAAATTATTTAACCCATTAACCTAACCACCAATTGAACCACTAATTAAACCATTAATTAAATCACTATTTAACTCATTAATCTATCTATTAAAAGACCTACTACCTATATTATTAGCTTAAGGGTTAGGAGCTTTAACTCTTTTAAAATAACTTATTTAAATAATTTAATATCTTTATAAGGAAATTAAATATAAAATAATTAACTATAATGTATATTTTTTAAATTATAATTAATATAGATTATTAATTTATATAATAACGCATTTCCCACTTGACCTGGCCACCCAATTGACCTGGCCACCCCAATAACCTATATAAAATCCAATTATTTCAATCTATAATAACTTTACGAATACTAATCATACAATTTAATAATTAGTACCTTTAAATCCGTTATTTAAAGGGGAATCCAACGGTATTTTTTACTATTTTTTATAAAATTTATTAAGCGAGATATTAAGCAATACGCTAAAGGAGCGCTAAGCAGGGATTAATTTAGCGCTTACTTTAGCGTATTGCTTAATAACTCCGCAAATATAGGTCGTATAAATTAGTAATGGGTACCGTTAAATAGCTCTTTTTATTACGAATCTAATGGTATATTTTATTCTTTTATACGACCAATATTTGAGAAGTTATTAAATTATCACGTGATTAGCGCACCGACGTTTCTTGTATGGGCTAGGGGGGTGGCCAGGTCAATTGGGTGGCCAGGTCAAGTGGGAGATGCGTTATATTTATATAATTTATTAAGGTTTTTTTTTATAAAGTTTCTTTTATAAAATATAAAAATAATTATAATAAAGGTAATAAGTGTAGTAATATTACTTATAATATATAATATTACTAATAATAAGTATAATGTAATAATTATACTTATTAATACTATAATAGTATTTTAAAACAGTTATTAATAATAATATTACATTATAATAATAATACTATATATTAATTTACCAACCCTATATAATAATAAGTTATAAATATTTATTATAATTATAATATAAAGGTAAAGTAATATAATTATATTAAATATATTATTAAAACTTTTAAAATTAATAACTTTAAAAATATAATATATATTAATAAATAAAAGTATTATATTATTAATTTATATATAATAATAAATTATAAATAAGTATTATTATTTTAATATTAAAAATATATTATATTATATAAATTAACGCATCTCCCACTTGACCTGGCCACCCAATTGACCTGACCACCCCCCCAGCCCATACAAAAAACGTCGGTGCATTAATCACGTGATAATTTAATAACTTTACGAATATTGGTCGTATAAAAGAATAAAATATACCATTAGATTTGTAATAAAAAGAGCTATTTAACGGTACCCATTACTAATTTATACGACCTATATTTGCGGAGTTATTAAGCAATACGCTAAAGTAAGCGCTAAATTAATCCCTGCTTAGCGCTCCTTTAGCGTATTGCTTAATATCTCGCTTAATAAATTTTATAAAAAATAGTAAAAAATACCGCTGGATTCCTTATTAAATAACGGATCTAATGGTGCTAATTATTAAATTGTAGGACCAATATTGGTTAAGTTATCCCAGATTGAAACATTGGATTTTTATATAGGGTAAGGGGGTGGCCAGCTCAATTGGGTGGCCAGGTCAAGTGGGAGCTGCGTTATAATATAATATTTAATAAAATATATTTTTTAAAAAACTAGAATTAAACTTTTAATCACTCTTAGTTAAACTAAATTAATTACTTTAATCACTTTAGTTAAACTAACGTTTTAGTCAGACTAAATTAATCACTCATAGCCTTGACTAAGACTAATTTAGTCACTCATGACTAAGACTAAGACTAAGTGACTAAATTACCAACCCTGTTGGAACGTCATCCCTGGATGGCGTCGGGAGACGTAATTAGAGGATCTACCAACTTCCTACCTTATTACTTGACCACCTTACATCTAGTAGCCAAATGTAGGCGCGTAGGTTCTCATCCTGATAATATCGTTTCTATCCTTTGTCGATAGCGTAATAACGCCCGTATGAATTGGAATCCCAATGAGTTCGCAGCACGTCATGTTGATCTTGCGGGCTTGCGTGAACTCTGTGCACTATTGGGGGATTGGACTTATTCTCTGTGGTATTGTTCTATGCCCTAATTGATACCGTCCGATACTTTGCGATCTACATCCCATCGGAGTTTCTCTAGCTCAGACACAATGTCTTGAGATCGTGCGGCGCAGTGAATTACTCTTTCGAAATTTTAATACGTTCCTCCTCAACCGGCACAGCCGGCACAGCTGCGTCAGATGTGTCGTCGGTTGTATAGCTTTGCAGGTGCGCATGGACAAAACTACGTGTCTGCCCCCCTGGTTTCTTTGTCATAGGGAAAGAGATGACCATGCGCCCATGCCCGGATGCCAACATAGATGTCTTCATGTAGTCAACAACCGGCGCAATGAGATCGGGGGAGTTTAGTACTACACTCCTATTCTGTTCCGTAATCCTTGACACACGAGCAGTTCCGCACGTGCTATTAGTTGGCGTCGCAGAAGCAGTCAAATTGCCAAAAGCAGCAGATACCAGAAGGATGACTTACGTATCGGTGACGCCGCTACGACGACACGACGCCTAACGGCTCGTCATAGAAAAAACAAGAGTAGCACTCAACAAGACCAGTCACTATGAAGGTTAAAAAGAAAACGTAAGAACTAAGAGTAAAGTTGATTACTTGGGATTCACTATATGTCGATATCCTTGCAGCCTCGCGGACTACTCTTTTCCAAAGAGCTTGATTGATACTTAACACCAGCTCGACACAGATAAAAATGGATAAGATACTTCAAACTGGGCTCTCAGCCGGTAATTATGGCTGCAACGTCGGGCAGCTGGGTTTGCACTCTAGCAAGCCCGTCCTCCCGGACCGAAGGTACGATGGAAAGCATCTGTTTCCCCAATCGTTTTGCCCTGACGCCCGAGCTCGTTGTTCCAAGCCAACCAAGAGTGGCAAGCCTATCCAGATGTCTTACATCTCTATCGGTGCTTGGTCATGGGGTGACTCTGCGACCTGGCATTGGAGACCAGAAGAACTCCTCGCAGTCAAAAAGCCTTGGGAGTACTTATATGACGATGATATAAACTTTATTAACACTGCTAAGGCCTATAGCAATGGGAAGAGCGAGGAGATTGTGGATGAGCTCGTCAATGGCCTTCCGCGAGACTCCTTCGTCGTTCAAACCAAACAGCTTGGTCTCCCCGTCGCGCTAACAAATCTCTTCAGCTCCTCGGAGGCCCCCTTCAAAGCACTGGAGACAATGGTAAAGCGCGTGAAGTTACAGTACGTAAATATTCTGCTCGTGCACGGCCACATCCACGGCTAGACCATGTCAGCCGTTGCCAAGGGCCTCACGAAGTGCGTCGATCAAGGGCTGACACGCACCGTTGGTGTTGCCAATTACTCTCTGTATGACTTCAAGCGAATGCGCGAGGAACTCGCCAAGTACGATATTCCGCTCATAATCAATCAGTGCGAGTTTAATATCCTGGGCCGATTACCCGAGCTCGATGAGGACATGACCACTTACAGGGAGATGGAGGTTCAATTCCAATCCTACTCGTCGCTTGCACAAGGAAGGTTGACGGGGAAATACAACGCAGAGCATTCGCCACCGTCAGGTTATCGTTCCAGCAACTATGACATGAAAATACTCAGCCGACCCTTATAGTGCTCGAGAATATCGGAATGAAAAGACGAAAGAAACCGGCGGCAGTTGCTCTCAAATATAACTTGAGCAAGGGGGCAGTACCCATTGTGGGTATTCGTAATATAGAGCAAACCGAACAGGCGTTTGAGGCATTTGGATGGAGGATTACTGAGGACGAGGTTAAAATGATTGACCAACACAGTTTTATTGGTGAGAAAACGATGCTCTGGCAGCAGGGGTAAGTGCTTAAACCGACTAGAAGTAGATACTGGGGTTATACTCCTTCGCTCGAACGATTCCATGCATTTTCTCCAAGTATCAATGGCTTGAAGCTTATGTTGCCACCACTTGCGATTGAAATGTATGGACAAGTAGTTGGTGTCACGACTGATGTAATTGGAGGGTGATATCTGATCACGTTAAGTAGGATATTTGGTCTTAGTAACATACTATGTGAGATTTAGATTCATACAGCTATAATTGTGACTGTGGTCCAAGATTTTGTTTCATGGGCTCACCTTACCACACCAAAAGGAACGAAACTAGGTAAAACTTCGCACGAGAACGTAACGACCCGCCGAGCGGCAAGATACTCCTGAATAGTAACGTCTAGACCTAGTGTCACGTATATCCCTCCAAGCTCCCGGAGGCTGTATATTTCACCTTTTGATAATCATTCCTACTACGATGGACTCGCTACCGCCTATAGACGCTCTATTTAGCATGTTTCGTGGGAAGTGAAGCAAGTGAGGGAAGATATCAGGCCCCTTGGTCGTCCTAGCACCCAGGGATCCATGGGGAAATAGGCTGCTGTGCAACTAAATACATGCTACAGATGGGGGAAATGGCAATCGAATTGGATAACCCAAAGGTCCATTGTACGCTCTACACAGCTCCAGTATCCCGTTATAAACTACCTACAGTTGTGTCTATATCTATATAGCTAGTGGCCCAATGAGTTACACACAGTAGCTCAAACTCAACACGGCAGTTTTATCATTATCGTTGCGAGACAGCTGCATGACAACGTACTCATCGCGTACGATGGAGGAAAAGTGATCGAGATGACCTAAAAACCTTCGTTCCGATTTCGTTGTAATTACATTTTTCAATATACTGGATGATTCAGACCGCACACTTCTTAGAATACCTTGCAAGCTCCTCTTGTCTCGAATAATCAACTCTGAGTATGTATCACATAGTTTATGGGAATTACACCGCTGGTGCCAACCTAACGTGTCGTTGACAATGTCTAATCGTAAATATGTCGGTATCAAGGTAATATGGTGACCGTGACAATCTCTACGAGCGAGGGGTTTGATAGCCCTTCCATCAAGAATAGGACACTGATCGCACGGCATACCACAGTCACCTCGAGAAGATCTTGTGGTGTTGCTACTGAGAAGATGATTGGGATTCCACTGCGCATATGTATTACGTAAAGACTCATACATAGCCCAACGCATCGCCTTAGGTGTGTCTTCCCATGCCCCTTCAGGTAAGTAGCCGTCGTATTACACCAGCAATGCAATAAGGCTATGTGCAATTGTATTTAATCAATAGCAATTTCTATTCTACGTGTTAAGCGTAGTTGTATGGCTAGTATAAAATTAATGTTCAAGTAAACTCCAAACCAGTCCGACAAATCTACATCAGATTAGATAGCAAGTGCACAGGTGAAAGTACTAAAAGACTGCCAACACGCAGATACTTAAGTAAAGGTTTGATTATGACATAATATTGCCACAGCCTAGGTAGGACTATAGATAATCGGGATACTGGGCTTCGAGAACGCATCCATCCTTCATGCTGTACCTACCTTTCTCAGCACCAACGTGTATACACACGCACACAGTATCTATCTATGTAGATAGGTATCCCATCCTAAATATCCTAAATAGGCAATGGCATGTGCCATACCCATGGTGGGTGTAGAGGCTATGAGTTGTGTAGTAAGCACGACGTTCTTCCTTCTGCTTTACTAAGAAACATTGAACTGTTCGGCCCAGGCACAGTGCATTGCGCACATGGTCTATGTACCTGACACGCTACCTAGTAACCCGAACCAGGCGGGCGGAAAATCGTGGAGATCCCTCGACGGGCCTGTACCTAGCGAGCACCCCTCCGGGTCGCCTATCTGGCAGGGCACACTCGAGAGTCATCGTATGTTTGATCAAGAGTATCGTATGTTTTATCGAAGAGAGTTTCGGTTATCTCAGCGTCAAGACGGGAGGATTATCTGGAGCCGTGGGCAGTAGTGCGGCTCCATTTTCGACTTCATCGCATGAAATGCCATCGCAAAATGCTGGCAATTCGATAGAAACAAGTGATGTACTGCCAAAGTTATCGCATGTGAGTATGTACTTGGGTAGTATCGCATGGGCCATGGGAGGGAGTGGCGATAGGTACCGTATACGGGTACAGTGCCGTTAGCATACGGCGAGCAGAAGCGGCAAAAATAGCTACGCCCGCGCCCATTTTGCCCGTCTCGCCCGTCCGCCGTCGCTCAGCTCAGCTCAGCTGAATATTGGGCTCTGCCAGGGACACAGTAAGGAATAAGCTTAATATACACTAATATGCACACTAACCTAGTGTGTCAGATCATGAACACGGACCCGGATCCCAATCCGTTCACATAGGCTGGGATCAGCGAAGCTGGTTGGCTGTGCCTTGCATCATTCACTCCAACTGGCCATTCGAGCCATTCAAGGTACACACGCAGTATACATTAGGTACCTACTGTAACCTCAGACTTCTGGACAACGCAATAGGACAAAGAGAACTTTACGTGAAGATGGTCACGAGGCCCGGTGAGGGCGATATTGAATTCATTGGATACACCATAGTAGTAGTAAGGGAATCCAGTATATTGGAAAAAGGTTACCTGGAGCAGAGCCAGCCGGGGAGTAATCACCGATGGCCCCAGAACAGGTGAACTACTTTTGGTGGGATACCATCCCTGTTTTCGCTTACCCCAAAACTGCAAAGCGAGCTGCAACCATTAAATTAGAAGTAAATGCTCCTCCCTGTTAGTAAGAATAGGAGTCATCACTTTCATAGGAGGGTGGTAGCCAACTGGTAATACAATGTCAAAGCGTATCGTATCTCGTGTCGCACTACTTGTGGGCCTGAATTCACTGAACCATAGCGATCGCAACGGCTTATGATCTTGAATAAGGTTTATATTTGCTACTCTGAAGAGCAGGCTCGTAATGTCTAATCAAACAATGCGAAAGGCAATCGCTAACAAAAAGGGAACTTGGTGATAGATAAACGTCCGCGTAAATGCAACCAAATGGATGGAGACTCGTGGGTTGATAAATAATAAACAAGAATTATCGTCTTTCGTTGACCAAATAACTATATACAGAAGAACAGTACCTAATATGAATGAAAAGCGTAGAGCTCATCATAGATCATCAGGTGGCGCCATCGCCCAAAACTTCTATCGGTAACTGCCCGCTCATTATGTACAGCCTAAGGGTATCATGGAATTGCCGCCCGCCAGTATTATCTCCTTAGTACAGCTTCTTGAGAGACCTCTTCTTGTGAGACTTCTTTGAAGGGCAGTGAGGAGGAGTCTTGGTGGCGAGGATGTCCTCAGTAGCCTTCTCAGACATCATCATGATGGGAAGGACGGGGAAGATACCGGGAATCTTGGGGAAAGCAGAGGCATCAACGATACGCAGGCTGTCGGTACCACGGACACGGAACTTGGAGTCAAGGACAGCCATCTTGTCATCGTCGCCACCAATCTTGTTGGAGCAAGAAGCGTGGTGACCCCAAGCCTCCTCAACAATCCACTCGTCAAGGGCAGCGTCGTCATCGCGGATCTCCTTAGGGGGCCAGAAAACATCAGCAGCGCCATCGATGGCAGGGATGTGCTCGAAGAAGCTGGTAGCCATGCGCATACCCTCACGGAGGGCACCAACGTCCTTGTCAGCCTCCTCCTTGGGCATACCCTCGTAGGTGTTGTGGAAAGTGATGATAGGGGTGTCACGGGGGTTGGTGGTGGCAAGCTTGACGGTACCGGCGTGGTTGCGGGTGTGAGCCTTGAGGACCAACCAAGACCACCAGTTCTTGTTAGCGACGGTAGCAGCGTTGGAAGAGTAGCCAGGGTAGAAACCGTTGAACAGAGCAGGGAAACCACCGATCCACAGATCGTGCTCGCCGTCCTCAGAGTAAGATGAGGTGAAGAAGCTACCCATGACGACACCGTTGGAACCGTAGTTACCCTTCTCAGCACCCTTGTTGTTGGTGTCGGCATACTGGGCCCAGCACGGGTCTCCGTCGACAGCAAGGTAGTAGCATGCAAGGATACGAGTGAAGTTGGTGGGGAACTCAGCGTTGACACTGGTCTCGAGACGGTCCTGAAGGTTCTCACCAACACCAGGGAGATCCAGGACAACGTCAATACCGAAGGACTCAAGCTCTTCCTTGGGGCCGACACCAGAGAGCTTCAGAAGCTGAGGGGAGTTGAAGGCACCACCGGCAACAATGACTTCCTTGGTGGCCTTGACAGTGCCAGGCTCACCACCGTCCTCGGTGTGGTTGGCACGAGGGTCGGCGCGGTACAGAGACTGGCCGTGGAGGAAGTCAACACCGATAGCCCTGGGCTTGGCACCGGTGGTATCGAAGAGAACCTTGGTTGCAAGAGTGTTGAGAGCAACATCAAGCTTGTACTTACGGGTACCGTTAGACGTCTTGGCGGCCCAGGTGTCATAGACGTAGTCACGAGGGGTGGAGCGACGTAGTCTGTCGGCATCGACGTGCAGGGGAAGCTTGCCCATGGCCTTCTTGAGGTCACGGTCAGGATCGGCGCTGTTCATATCGTGGACAAGCATGTTGTCCAAAGCAGCAGCGATCTCAGTCGTCATGTTAAGAGGCAGCAGACCAGTCTCGTAGTCAATGCTGTTCGCCTGGGCCATTGCCACGGCACTGTTGATGGCAGTCGTAAGACCGCTGTTGTCGATGCCGAAGGCCTTGGCGGCGCCAGCAACAACAGATAGTAGCTTGACGTCTTGGGCGGGGATACCGTCGGGGTTTTGAGTGATGTGGATGTAACCATCCTGTCCGTGGGTGTCCTCAGTTCCCTCAGGGACGCTGTACTCAAGCTTCTCGACCTTCTTGAAATACTTCCTCATGGCATCGTTATCCCAGGACTTGTCACCAGTAGCGTTCTTGATGCCATCCCAATCGTTCCTGCTGGGCAGCAGAGCGACAAGGGCGTTGTGCTCAGCGCAACCACCGAGACCACCATAACGGGGGTAGAAGTTACCGAGCTTGGTTGATCCCTCGGGGACGTCGACACCACTGTAGAACTTTCCATCCGGTGTCAACCAGGTGAGCTTGCGATCCTTGTTGGCGATCTCCTCGTTCTCGTAGTGGTGGGTGAAGAAGCCCCAGCTGACTTCGTTCCTCTCGGACGAAGGATTGGCCAAAGCTGGTGATTCACGCTCCCGAAGGTGACCGTAGTCACCACCGGCGTCGATGAGGAGGACGCTGTGGCCGGCAATGGCGAGGTTGGCGGCTAGCGGGGCACCACCGGGGCCCGAGCCGACGATAACGTACTCATACTCGGACTTGGCTGGCTTAGCAATGGGGATAAGAGCATCGCTAGTCTGGGGGTAGTGGTTCTGGGGTTGGATGACGTCGATGAGAACATCTACACCGTCGCGGCCAGCTCTATACAAGGATGGTATTAGTGACTGTATTATATTGTTGATATGGGGAGGGGGTTCCTCAGTCGCGACCTACCCAGCAAAAGCGCAAGGCGCAATCGCGCTAAGAAGCGCGAGATATGAGAAAGACTTCATTGTTTATAGGGAAGGGAATGTAAATAGAATGATGCTATATGGAATGAGTGAAAGAAGGGGGGGGGTTAAAGAAAAATGGGCTGCAAATCAAAGAGTAGTAGTAGTGCTACTCAGGCCCGTGAAGGAAGAAGAGGTGAGAAGAGAAGGTGAGTGAGCATGGTAGATTCTTTAGCACAAGAAGCCAGGTAGATCGCCAGTCTTATATAGCAGAGTTGCTTCTTCACGTCGATCTCTGGGTTACTAGTGTTTACTAGCTTGTCCATGCGTACGTCTACGAGACAGCCATGGTGGTGGTCCAGCCATGTGTGCGTATCTATTTTCGGGCAAGTAGTCATCTCCAGGTCCCCGCAATTCGATGCTGACGGGATCCTTGCCCATGACAGGATGCTGACAGGCTTCTACCAATAGAGTAATATAGATCGGCGGGTCAAGGGTAGGCGAGGACGACCCATGTTGAGAACCATGACCGGCGGCCCAGGTACTGTGTGACGGCGCAGAGATGGCGCTCCCACGAAGGCAAGGGTGTCTGGGCAGGGGGCTTTGAGCTCAGCTGCCGGGCCGGCATTGGCACAGACGAATCCTCACTTGACGACTGCTCCGTAGTAGTAGGTGTGTCAGTGTCATATTCATGGAAACGGTATCGACTGTCCAAGAGGCTCGCTAGTTCGGATCGCAACACTTGCTGCATACATTTTACATTCGATGATTGGACGGCGAGCAAGGTCAACAAGCTGGTGGTGGGAGGGGCGAGCGAGCGAGACGAGATGCCTCTCGTGGGTTACTACTCAACCCGCGTGCGTTGCCAAGCTGGGCATGGCCATTTGCTGCTAGACATACTTCGTAAGTTAGACATTACGCCACCGCTTCTCCTACTTTGGTGTAGTGTACACTACACAGGATGGTTCTGTGTTGGTTGATGAGGGTTTGATGAGAGTTGATGAAAGTTGATGAAAGTTGTGCCGAGTGACCGACAGCTGGCAAGAGGCGAAGAGGTGAAGTCTGCTCCAGTGTCTATTCTCGCTATTGAACAGCGTCAGCCGTGGTCAGCACGTCGACCTAACACAGTAGATAGGTAGGCAGGGGACTAGGCCAAGGGCCTTGGCACCAACACAGCCATTTTGCGTGTTGTTTTCCGTCCGCCACAGTACTACCGTCATGTACTTCCATTCCATCGTGTCTGATCGCGTACAGTTGATACAGGTTGTGTCGGTGGGCCCGACCCTCTTGGAGAGATGAATCCTTGGGTGTTGTCTCCGCTGGGTGGCATTGGTGCCATCTAATCTCCCTCAGTCCCCGGTCAACTTTGGTAGGACTCCAGGTCAGAATCCAGCTTAGGTTACTTAGTAACTATTAACAAGAGCAGGATGATGTAAGGCAGCTTTTATTATTATTATCATTATTTTTTTTATACGTCCTTCGGGTGTTCTACATGCACTTCTGTCTGTCTCTCTTTTGGGCACAGCATCTACCTAACACTGAAAGCCATAGAATCCAAACCAAGCCAAGCAGTGTAGACGACGGCCTTGCCGAGTGGTTTCAGGCATATAACTGCACTTCCTACACTGTATTCTTCTACCTTGACTTGTGACTTAGCAAAGACAGGTGGTACCATGTCGCCTTAGCAGCCCACCAAGCCTTTTACACATAAAAGTTCCTGCAGGTGGAAAACGTGTGCATGGAAGCAATTTTCTCACTAGCTGATACACACTTGTACCTAGGTATACATATACCTAGGTATGCATGCATAGGACCATACATCGTATATGTATACGCATGTGGTATAACGCCCTTCTCTGTACGTATACTTACCTGCCTGCCATACTCTAGGTGGTACTCAAAGGGGTGGAGCTGGCACAAGCAAGGGTGGTTGATGATGAAGGGGAGCCATCGCTTTGTATCCACCCCATCCACCCATCCACCCAACTTCTACCGTACTAGGTATACTTATCAATGTATCTTTCCTGTGTGTTGTGAGCTTCATCCAGAATAATTGGGAACATGCTGGCTGGTCCTCGACGGTCTCTGGTCTCTTGTTTTTGCACAATTCCCTCCGTGGTTCCCTCTGGTGGCCACAGCTCTGCGGTGTTGGAGGAGACTTCGCAATACACCAACTTCATCCCTAGGTATGTAGAGTACCACTACCTACTCATCATGCACCCGAGGTGGCAGATATTGTGAAGTGTGTTGTTACACTAGGTACCTAGGCACACATGTACGCTAGAACGCTGCATGTGCTGCATGCCACAGTGCATGCCTTGTACCGCCATTCCGAGAATGCGAGCGGCCTATATCCCGAGGATGCGAAATGCGGTGCTTGGCGGTTGCTCGCTTTGCCCACTCGTAAGCGAAAACCTGGGGACTCTATACCTATCCCGTGTACTGTCCGTGTAATGTAGGTGAACCACATACCTATATACCTACACTACCGGTATACTACACTACAGTCTCTGATTTCCGTGACAAAGCTGACGAGATGTAGGCTACCGTAGGGCGAGATGGGATTACCTCATGTGGACCATCCATCATACGGCCTAAACCACATGCGTTTCTGCTATGCTGTATCATACTTACTGCCCTGTTTTAAGTTTCGAGAGGGCCCAAGCCATCATCTCAGCTCTCCAGTGCACTAATGTAGCTCTGGCATGTAGATATATGCCATCGCATAGGTAGCACAGAGAGGGTTCGGAGATAGGCATTAAGTACACTGCATACAGTAGCATGCATACGGTGACCGAGGGCTAGAGAATCAACATTGATCGCATCTTCGCAACGCATGTTCGGGTCGATGCCTAGACCATGCCATCCATGAAGATCTGTGTTGCCGTCTCGCCGCATCTTGGGCTGCGACCTACCTGAAGCGGCAAGCAGTATAAGCAAGTGTAGTAGTAAGTAGGAGAGTACCTACAGAGGTTCCCTACAGAGGTTCATATCATGGATAGTATCACGGATAGTATCACGGATAGTATCATGTATAGAATGAGAATTCTTATCTAGATACCTAGGCAGTATACGACAGTACGACTCTGACAGACAAGGGAAGGGCATGGTGTTTCTAGAAGAGTTCGAAGAAGAACGGGGACGGATATGGCGGACTTGAGTCTACTCTTATTCCGAGGCCTTCTCGCCTAACTTGTTGCAGTCAATATCAGCTACCTGGTTTAGGCAGGTAGGTAAGATGGAGGCAGAATTGTGTGTAGAGGTAAGCAATTTTGAAGAAAAAGCGCGGCTTACATTGGGCAGAACCCGGGTAAGCTAGATGATGCTAGATAGTACCTTGCCTAAGTAATATCTACAGTAGATATAAACACTGTGGTAGGTAGATGACATGGTGTATCCACCTTTTAACCTTAAAAAACTATGGAGCTCACTGACCAAGGGTTTCCAAGCTGCAGCAAGCCACTACACTACACTACATGTAAGTAAGCGGGACACTGCTAGTGGGCCTCGCTTAGGGATCCTGGCCTTTGCATGGGAGGTACCTGTGAAAAAAGGAACAACACACTGTGCTTGCCCCCCTAACAGGAGACCCAAACAGTCTAAAGTCCGACGCCGGCGCGGAGCTGTTAGTGCAGCCTCAAGATCGAATCTACACTGCAACAAGTTAGCAGAATCCTGCCGTAACACATATTTTTAGCAACACGCCTTCGACATCTCCGAACCTCATCTTGATCAATTCTTCCTCGCTCAGACAACAGGCCCGCAGTCTCTAAGCGGGGAGAGACAGTATCGAAATGGAGGTAGAGACATCATCATCATCATTATCATCATCACCGATTTGCTCCGTTACATCGCATGAGGACACTCATCGCTCTAAACAAGGAGGGTATCATCACACGTATCCCCATAACAAATATCTCTTTCAAAGTACAAGTCACCAGCACCCGACGCACATGGCATCCCATGTAGGTACTGTATGTGTGCATTGGCCTCGCAACCTCGGGTTTTCTATAGTTACTGCCGGTATATGAAGATGCAACTGGGATAGTCTACATACATACACATGGCGGCCCAGATAGTAGGGGAACCATTGATCTTGGGGCTATCAACCGTTCCCGCTGGTGCTTACTAGCTTATTATCAGCTTCTGGCTCTTACTCTTCCTTACTGTTCGTGCTACGTAGCACACCGGGTCTGCACTATCGATGCCACCATCTTACCCGCGATGGATCTGCATCTCTATTCCATCCCGATGCTGCTGACCGTCATATATCTCCAAAACCATCTAGGTATCTGTCTGTGTTAGTGAGTGTAGTGTGCGCCGTGAGCGCCATGTAGTTAGTGGATGTGGCGCGCGTCGAGGAATGAGATGCTGGCTGTGTCCACCTGTCTAGATCTCTCGTCTGTTTAAAGGTGCCTCCAACAACGCCGACGTTGGTGTAATATGTATATGTATGTGCTACAATTACATATATGACGCCTACCCTGCATTCTGCCGCAAAGGGTCACATCGGATATACACTCAGTATCTGGTCCTTCTACCTCATGTCATGAAATTTCGTACCATTTCATTCTTCACCTTCTCCACGAGCCTGTCTACATTCTGTCCTGGACTTCATTGTCGGATGTACGAATAATATCCTAGGTGAGCATTTATAATTGGACATTTGAACGCTCACAATCATTCGCGGGTAGCACGTACGTGGCAATGTTGCCCTTATACCTTGATTCAATGCTTTCCCTCAGTCTCCCGCTACCATCTGTCGTGGGGTGCTATAGCTTTAACTGGAACTAATTGCGAGTGGTGGCCTCATGTGGCTTTACCTTGACAACTTGGTCGCCAGTCCATCAATGATGTTCTAAACAGTTACCACGCCTGGGAGTGGCAACAACTATCATTACACAATTTTGAATGGCACATCATGATTCTCACAGAACCTAGCCAACGCCCTACGCAACAATTGCGGAGGGCGAGGACATCTCTGCCGGTATCTTCAATCTGAGATCGAGGGGTACGATAGCTTGCGTTGCCGCAGAGGGGTGTCTTTGATTCATTTCACCACGACGATGCTTACCATCGGCATATCCCTTTCTTCGTTGAATCTTGACGAATCAGACTTACGGGCTTGGAACAATGTTTAAAGGAATCCATGCTCGCCACTTCCGTTCTGTCCTGCACGGGACTCGGATATATCACGAAAACTCGACTGAAAGGAAGGAATGAGGCGAGATATATTGGCGCTCTACGAATGATAACCCTCAGGCCTTTCTTTAGCCATCGGACTGAGTCAGTATCTCCAGCATAAGATTGTCTCGGCCAGTCCGTACAGCTCGGGTAAGCATTACCGCGTCGTTCAGGAAGCTCGAGAAGAGTTGGTATGAGACTTTTCCAGTCAGGACAGCTTCCAGCTGGCGATATAGATGTTGTCCTCGGTGATAGGTATGGCAAATCGCGTCGACAATGCCTTTTCTATCACGCCAGTAATATTGTCAGGCCGAACTCATCAGATCCATGATTGTTTCCCTCTCAGGTCGCTAATATGATCAGTCTCTCAAAAGCCTTCCGTTCGATATGTTACACGAACTCGATCCAGAGAGGAATCATACACCACTCTCGTGCTGGCCGGGAAGTACTAATTGAGATTGGCTAGGTGATCCGAGCCAACAAGTACTCACATTGCCGAAGTGCTCAATTGACGTACTCTATGGAATCCTAACAGATCATTCTCTATCCCAGCAAGTTTCGGTCCGAGCACACCTCGATCTTGGCTTCCCAGCTAGCTTTACACTATACGGACTCCATATCACTCATCTACAACTTTTCGCTATCCTTTACCATGACATCTCTTGATTCCTCGAGAATTCACCCAGTGATTCCTCGCATGGATTACCACGTTTATTGATCTGCTTGTTGATAGCCTTGTTGACATTAGACATTTATCGATAACCGCCCGAAGTAGGGACGACAGCCTGATAACCTGACCACTCGGCTACGGAACGCCTGTTGAGCGAAGGGGTGTATGTCTCCTGTGCCAGCTTCCTGATTAAACGAAATACCCTGTTCTACGCATAAATCTAATATGTATCGCTATTAGGTTGTAAATAAGCGACGTGCTAATCTCAATGGTTGTCAGGTACACAGATTTATCAGTAGGTAACCCACCTGGTCAGACGGCCATACCTCCCATGTATGGTATGAGGTCGCTTTCACTCAAAGTCACAAGTCACGAACACATACGACAAACTCTACCTCCAAGACTGCCACCTCGGCTCTGTGCGACAAGAGGATGTCGGCGTAACGATAGCTGGTGACACCTGCGCCAGCCACGTGCTTTTCAATTGAGACATAAGTCCTCACCAAGGCCCCTCAGGAATTAGTATTTTTGATGTCTCTCTATCTCGATGATTTCGGCATCCGGTTAGCTGAAGGATTGTATCGCCTCAGTGCGACGCTCCTGTTCCTTTATGCGGTCATCTGCCTGAAACATGCGGCGTGAACGGGAATGTGAGAAGGAAAGGGCGCAGACTCCGGTACTCAAAGAACCTTGACAACAGAAACCCCGTGCCGCCCAATTCGCGATTAAGGTAACGTTTCATTTGTCACGAGGGAGACCAAGCCAGCATGACACTCGCTACGCGCGGCCGGCGGCGCAGCTGACTTGCCTATGTACGAGCGTGTACTACGCATGTCTACGCCAACTGCTAACTATGAGTTTCGGCCGAGGTTAGGCATCGAAGAACGAGTCACTAAAGTCTTCGTTCGACAAACCATCTGGCGAGGATGTTCTACAAGGAGTGTTCCATTTCTATCAGACACTATCTGTGAGATACTCTAGGCTCAAGGAGACTGTCCCATGGACTCTTGTTTCCCCTCGAGTGTGGAAGTCCGATACTAGCTCGGTGATTCTTTGCGCGTTCTTAACAATGTAAAGCAGTATCTGCTTCACATTGTACTTTCTGTGATATTAGAGTATCTACAGTAGTACGTAAGAAGGTATGGTGTTGTGCAGGTGGTGATGTTCTAAACAATACCGTTTAGCAAACAGTGACAGCTAGACAACTTACAACAGAAGCCCTTTGCTACATAGTTCCTATCAAAAAAACTTCTATTGCAATCCTTTGGCGCCTAGCATGTTGTTATAGTAGGAATTTTTTTTTAAGTTGTAGCACATTTCTGTAAGGTAGTCAACGTGTAAGGTTAGGCAGTTGATGTCATCTCCGAGTGCTATCTTCGGATGTCATCCTAGGATAACGTCCCCAGATACTGTCCGGAGGACAATGTATGATATAGTATGTATACAGCCCTAGGACAGTATTCCAAGATAGCGTCTCCAGACAGTGTCTCTAGACAGCCTCCCGATTTTCGCTATATGCTATGCCCTAATCTCAGCCCCCAAAAGAGTATCTGCATTAATGAATACTGTTCACGAGGCGCAATAGATGTCAATAAATGCTTATACATACTTAGTTAAACAATTAGCCTTCATTTTCATAATATATATAGGGTTATAGAAGCAATGTAGCTATAGGGTATGTTGTTATATTAATCAGTGGGGTAAAGGTTAAAGGAATGGTGTATTAATAATGCAATGGGTATTATATATCTTTAATCATCAAGCCTCTATATCCTTTAAGGTCATCTATTTAACATTATATATAGTTATCAGTTTCACCACCCTGTTACCTCTGTACCTGATGCTTCCTTATATTAAATTTACATCATTGAATAATGGCATTCCTTCAAGCACGCCATCGTACCCCGACCACCAGACCAATGAAGGCGATTATACGATAGATGGTTCCTATGAGAAGCAGCACTAATATGTTTGTCCAGAGCTCGTGAAGGCGGAATCCCGCGATCCTCGCGGCTAGGTCGACATTATAGAGGTATCTGAAGGGCTCAATCATCTGCCCAAAGTAAACCTCGGCAAGCCAGGTGCCGGGTGACGCGCGCCAGAGCCATTCTAAATGCCATTCCTTGACCTTAGAGAGGGGGGGCGCTGCACCAGAGAGGATACCGACGACTAAACTAATCATGGTCGCAAAGAGCGGCGCATCCTCTCTTTTCACGATCACTGCGATAATGTGATGTTAGTCATCTTTGCCATTGAACCTACGCGTTGAAAGGAAGAGGACGGGTTATCAGACTTACTGGACATGACACTCGCTAACCCATATATGCAGTAGAAGTACACGAAGTTCGTAATGAAAGCGTTACCCCACGGCATGATCGGCACAGAGAGCACAAGAATAAGGGTCGTAAAGTGTAGGCACGCGAATGCCATTCGGGGAAAGACAGACAAGTTCTTAGCGAGGAAATAGGCGACTCGCGAGTGGCCGGCCTCGGCCTCCCGACGGTACAGGAGCATCTCCTCCGAGAAGACCTTGACGCCGGGGGCGCCCGAGACGAGACCGATCGCGATGACGGTGAGCAGTGCGAGTTCTGGGACAGACTGGATATCTGTCGCCACAGATAGAATCTCGAACGGCGCGTTATAGATGCCCTTGAAGAGAATGCCTTGCTTGCTATTCTCCGCGAGACCGAGCAGAATCCCCGAAAGTGACGCGAGACCCATTTCGAACCAGAAGGTTGACTTCGCGCGCCACTGCTGGAGCATAGCCCGCTGCAAGCACAGCCAGCCCTGCTTCCACCGCGGCGCACCTCGCGATTTCAGCATGGATCGCTGTATTGTCTGTGTCTGTTTGATGGAAGCACGGTCTGACTGCAGAGACTCGTGGCGGCTCTTAATGGCAGCGTTTTGGCGAGAATTGGCCCAGTTGCTTATCAAGGCTTCTTTGGAGATGTCGCCCGCCTTTTTGTACGGTCGACCGTTGCCGGTGATGATGTCTGTTATGACGTCTGCCGTGTTGGCGTGCTCAGGGAATCGAAACCCGACGTTCTCGAAAAATTGCTGTACGCCATCCTCTCTACCTTCGTAGATGATCTGGCCGTTACCCAAGAGTATCAATTCGTCGAGCATCTCGAATATTTCCACTCTCGGCTGGTGAACTAGATCATATAGGTTAGTTACCATCATTCTCGGTAAGCTACTATGTGCGAGGTTCCAGGGGTCGTTGAAGGGTTACTAACTAATTACGATGACGGAAATTCCAAGACGCGCAATTGCTTTCAACGTGCGCATAATTGATGACGCCGATGTGGCGTCCAGACCACTCGTGGGCTCGTCGAGGAAGATGGCCATAGGTGCAGCAGCCAGTTCCATACCAATGCTTACACGCTTCCGCTGTCCACCGCTGATTACAGGTTTTCCGACGCTTCCGACGCGGGAATTGCGCACATGGGACAGCTCGAGACAGTCTATGACAGAGTCGACGTGAGCCTTGATGTCGACGCTGGACCACGTCCGCGGCAGGCGGATCCTCGCGGAGTGCAGGATGTTCTCGTAAACCGTAAGCTCAGGAAGGACAATGTCGTCCTGCGGCACGTAGCCGATCAGCTTCTTATACCGCTTGATCTTCCCTGGGATGTTGTTCACGGTGACTAATCCGCCTGTGTTGGTCGTCTTGCCCATCAAAACATTGACGAAGGTGGATTTGCCCGCGCCGGAGCCGCCCATGACGGCCGTGAGCGAGCCTCGTTCTATAGACCCTGTCACGTTCTGCAGAATAGGCTTGGGCGAGCCTTTGGGATGGAAGCCCAAGTTGTTGTAGGTAAAAGAAAGGCCGAACTGCGAGGCGTCCGTTGCCTTGCGCATCGAATCAACGAACGCTCGGAGCTCAGGCGTGAGGCCCGAGTCATACACCTCCATGTCTGAGGTCACAGGTATCGGAATATCGAGCGCAGCTTGAAATCCAGCCCAAGTATCTGCTCTGGGCGGCATATACGTGGCTTGCATCGGTAACATCTCGTGATCCTGATCCGTTTCGTCACGAAGTTCCTTATACCCAGTCATGGATGCTGAGAAAGCACCAAGGCCCCTCGGTTTAGTGATTGTATGCCCTTCCCTACTTCTTCGGAATCGTTTGTTGACAGCATACCAGACCAACGCCACGGCAATGAACACGTCTAGAGCCAATAGAAGAATTAGCGGTATGAAGAACACTTGGTAAGTGGACCTCTCGGGACAGTAACTTCCTACGGCGCAGGGAGTTGGCGTCGGGGCGCCGGGTTGGCAATACGTTCCAGCTGGACAAGGGAGCGTCTTGCGTCCGCCGAACTCTTCTGGACAATAATAGCCTTCCTGGCAGATAACAGGTTCGAACGGACCCATAGGAAAATTCTTGCCTTGGAATTGGCATTGTTCACCAGAGAGCCTGACACTTTGGCATTGGGTAAAGGGTATGCAGTACTGTGGAAGCGAGTTGACTGTGTTGTTTGTGCCTGTACGACGATATTAGCGTTGCTAGCAAGAGCCAATTCTAGGGTATACAAACACAGGAAGCCGGAAGGACAACCATTAGAGTCCCAGTTTGTCACATTCTGAATCTCAACAGGTATTGTACCTCGCCAGCAAGAGGCGGCAGAAGTGGGAGTATCGCCAGCTTCCTTCTCAGCAAGCGCTCTATAGAAGGACGTGCTAAAGGTTGTTTGGTTGATGGCCGTACATGTCCTATCGTAGGGTGTCAACCCATCTAGATCGGCGTCGACGAAGGCCTTCTTTTTCGTATCCCATGTTAAGGCTTTACTCGTATCCGGGCCATTAGATGCATCGTAGATCGGGAGGTTAACTTTGCTACCGCCGTGCAAGCTCTCGAACCATTTGCCCGTGGTCACCTCGTAAACGCCCTGTGTTTGGTTCCCGATACATTGCCATGCCGCATCGTTACTATCCGCCCTTTTCCTATCGTCCTCTTCCTCCCCCTCGGCTTGCTCGACCTGGCGCAAAGAGCAGAGACAAGCTGAGCTGTCAAGGAAACTCGGTCCATAACTTGACTCTCGCGGCAAGTATGGGTTTTGCGGCGCGCTTTTCAGCAGCGTACGATATAGGGCCAGATCGCCATCCATCACTGCGTAGACTGAGGGATACTTATCAAACAGAAACTGGCCCAGTCACTTCCAGCGTCTCCTCTTCCGCGTCGCTGTAAGGACCGCTGACAAAGTTATATACTAGGACAAAACCATGAATGAACGTCACTAACACGTCGTGGTACCACCCACAGCCACGCGTGGGTGCTACTGCTATCTACATCCATGGCGCACAATCTCCGGGTTAATGAGGGAACGATGAGCCACGCGCAGGACTTTGTTCGCCGTATTCGCCGTGAAATCCTGTCCACCAGGTAAGCCCTAGGCCTTTCTCATACGCTAATCAGAGAATCGTACCAATTCGTCTCGTCTCACTGCCCTCATCTAACGCAAAGCATCAGACGGTAGGATCCAGGAGGTGGGGCAGGGACAAAGTAGCTTTGGACGGATTAGAAAAACCAAGGGCCAGCAAGCGTAGAGACACCTATATTTAACAACTCCCCACCGCGCCGTTGTAAGGGCGGTGCAGACCGTCGGTACTACGAAGTAAGCACTGCGGTGAGAAAATGAGTTCGGCCAGGGAGCCACCGAAATAGTCCTAGTTTCATGCAGCCCTATGACGAGACAATGAAAGCAACGGTTGAAAATAGTATATTTCATCCTCTATATACCCGTCTGTGCTAGATACGCCGTATATTGCCTGTAATCATGATTTCATATATGGCAAGGGAAGAAAGCCATTGTTGCCTCGTTGCCCAAGTACGATTCCAGATACCTAGTCCGACCATATAACAGCACTACAGTAGCTAGTTACACGCTAGATCTCTTCCATCAATCAGAGGCCCGCCTCGATGGCGATCGTCAGCTCAAAACCCACCCGACTACACACCGGCTTTGCATCGGCGAACGTCCGGCAGTCTGGCGACAACGCCGGGGTGGCTGATCACTTGTCTCAGCCTTTTTTTCTCCCTCCAGGGGCATCATCGCCGACGTGGAGGATGGCTGGATCTGCACCATGTTTCATGAGAAGCTTCGCGGATTCGAGGTGTGCCCCATAAGCACATATGTTGAACATGTAGACAAACTGATATCAGCAGAAAACAATCCTATGTCAGCCCGAGAATGCGAACAGGCTAAACAGCATTACAGGAAGAAGAAAAACAGACGCCGGGGCTACACCCATGGCCTCATTACCTAATCATCTAGTTCTAGCTTAACCTATTCAGAGATCACCAGCATCTGGTGCCCGCCTTTTGCGATCGATCCAAAAGGTAGCTTGGTTATATACAACATTTAAGGGACTGGCTAGCACATACGACCATAGGATCTGGAGAACGCGGGGTCCCGTCCGCTCCCCCATAGCTAAGCCAGATACCGCCGGATTAGTAGTTGGGTCGGTGACGACCAGCGAATCCCCGGTGTTGTATGTTTTTGCATTTTGTCCAATTTCCCTTTTTATTTATTTATTATTTTATTTTTATTTTTTCCCTTTTCCTACCTGTCCTCTGCCAGGAAACATTGATTGATCTCACATTCTCTAACTAACCAATCTTCAACCCTGCCACCAATAAAGGGATAGCAGTGATGATGCATGACAAACGAAGAACATTACAAAGACTAATGATATGGCCTGATCGTGACCCTGTGTCTTGCGGTTGTCATCAGATTGGATGAGATCCCAAAGTTCTTAAACTACCTAGGTATACCGTGACAGTTATCCGTTCGGGGTTGAAAACAGCTGCCGCCAGAAGTCTTGAGACCATGAAGCTCGCCTAATTAGTCCGCCGACTCCTTGAGCAAAGTACGCAGTGATTTGATCCCGTCAGCCCACCGGTTTGAGATTAAAGTTTGGTAATCGTAGCCTAATCAATGTTACAATGGGTTTTCACATGATAGAAAACCTCCGCTCGGTTCCCCTCATCAGTTTTCCACTGTGCTGCAGCTTGGGCAAATTGTCGGCCCAAGAGATAATTAGCAGCATCCAGATCCCCGTGAATGAAAGCAATACCAGCACTACTATAACTATAACCCCCCGGGATATTGAATCAGAAGGACCCTACGGGAAATTTATTAGAACAGAGACTGATTGAGATACGATACGCCTGTTAGCTAATAATCTGGTAAGCTTGGGACGATTCATCCCTGACTGTTCACTGCTCTCCAAATGAAGAGTTGGATTGTCTCAATTGGCTGTATATCATCCAAGGCCGTCTTACTTGAGCAGAGTAGATGACAATTAGTCTCGCAGAACAGTAGAGCTCGAAGCGAATACGCATGTGTGAGCCTCATCTAGGAACCCTGGATAGGTATATACACACACGGGTCTGTCTTTTGATTCTATGTTGAACTAACACCCCTAACCTAACTCTCTTGAAGGGACAAAGGTATGCTACCAATATCTTTGCCCTCTTTGCTAACACGGTACATCACTGCAATACTGCTAGTGTATATCAATTAGCACAGATAGAAACACAAGCAGGGTTGAATCTCCTCCTAGGACCCTGTCGTTACACTCGCTGTGGACGACTGTGAAAGAACATTGCATACTATGTAGGTCTGTCTTCGGAATGAGAGCAAGCGATCGCCGCTTTGCTGATCTCCTACTTACTTAGTAAGGTGGGAGAGTGGTCATATGATCTCTGCTGATCAAGCGGTTTGGCAGGGTTGAAATGCGGCCTTTGTGAACGCGTAGGTAGCATTCATAAGATTCGTCTTGGCAGTTCGGTTTAGGTACGCACCTACCGTAGCCTCACATCTTACCGAAGCCACACCCATTGGTGTCCACAAGGGGCTCCCTATAATCTCTGCTGCAACAAAATATGAATGAACTCACCATTGTCTGCCAGCAGTCATCTAGTGCATTTACTTCCCCTAAAACGGATAGATCTAATAAGTAGGATACACACCAACGTCGAGACTCTGACACAAGATGTACATCATGATTGAACTGAGATTTTACATTTTGTATTTACACAACTATCGCACAGCCTTGCGTGTTAGGTTTGAATGTACAATATTTATACACCAAGCTTTCGCTACCTAGGCATGGTTGCCAGCTTCTTCTGGATCAGTCTAAGTGTGGACTTAGGAACCCTCAGCCGTTGACCAAGCACAAGAGTTCCTGTCAATAAAGCAAGGGCGCCGGCCTGGTGTGCTGCAGCCAGCGGGATAGGTACCATGTAGATGAGGGTACTGATTCCTAGCGCAACCTGGATACAGACTAGATGGACCACACCGGTGACCCCTTTACGAGCATCTTTCGGCAAAACGGTGGCAACCCGCCCTCTCCTGGCGTAGGCAAATAGAGCGAGGATCGAGCAAAATGTGGTTGTAGCGAGGATACGATGGTCAAGCTGCACCAAACTCGGGTTTTCTAACACGTTTCGCCACCACAAGTCAGAACCGTCTTCTTTGCGTGAGTAGAACTTGTCCCATAATTCCGAGGCTGGCGGTGCCAATCCAAGTCCCATCTTGGGAAATTCATTGTAAATCAAACCAGCATCGAGGCCAGCAACCAGAGCGCCAGAAAGCACGGTTGTGAAAACGAGAGCTGTAAGGGCAGCCACCGATCTTCGAAAGGGAACCATAGCGGGGTGCTTTAAGGCTTCAACCAGCTTCATAGAATTAGCGGGATTAGCGAGGAGCCGGCGTGTCCTGAGTATGCTGAGTCCAGCAAGCAACATCCACGAATAACACACAAAAGCTGTGGCGAGATGGGCAGTAAGTCGATACTGGCTCACTCTTGGGTGTGAGCCGGGCGCGAACAAGTCATCCTTAAGACCTGATTTTACCATCCACCAACCAATGAAACCCTGGAAACCGATGAGACCAGAGATTCCGACAAGATTCCAAGCCATCGGAACGGAAACACGACGCCGCGCGATGAAGTAGGCCGTAGGAAGGACGAATGAGAGACCTATAAGCCTTCCCCAGAGACGGTGGGTCCACTCCATGAAATAGATCTTCTTGAACTCGGCCAGATCCATATGAGAGTTTAGCATCTTGAATTCGGGCGATGCTCGGTATTTTTCGAATTCCGACTCCCAGTCTTGTTGAGTCAGGGGGGGGAGAGAGCCAGTGACGGGCTTCCATTCTGTTATACTGAGACTGTTTAAGGGGAGGGGGGGAAACGGAGTTAGCAGAATTCACGAATTCTTGCAAAAAAAGGCTCTATTTCATCTCGTTTCAGGTGTGGGAATAGCATGCGTACCCCGATTCGGTCAGACGGGTCAGGCCGCCAAAGACCACAATACCAAAGACGCTGGCAGCGCTACCGAGGAGCCAGTAGGCGACCGACTTGGAGCTCGTTGCCTCCGGGAATGCGCGCCTCGATAGCTGCTGGGCGGCAGCGTGTGTTGGGGTGCCCATGGCGGCATTAGATTGGACAGCGGCGCTTGTGCTAAAGAAAGTGGCCGAGAGCGGTGGCCTCTTCATTGGCATGGGCGTCGTTGAGGTGGTGGAAGCATGGCGGCGGAATGGTCGCAAAGACTGGAGGATACGCGATGGGGCTTTTGGGGACTGTTGACGGAGACATTGGCGGCAGATGAACTGCACCCTCGACAGCCCGGGTGGCGCTAAGCGCATACCGGGTACTAGCAGAGGCATTGCGGCATGAGTTAATGGAGCATGGAGAGGCTCGCCGAGGGTCGTGAGAAAGGGAGATCGAGGGGCCGGAAAAGAAGCCGTTGCATGTTCTGAAATCGTACGAGCTTGGGAGGATGAGGTATGTACCGCGAGGTGCATGTGGGTAGTGGTTACCAGGGCAGGCTTAATTACTCAGGTACCTACCAGATACCTACCTACAATGTACCTACTTCGTAGGTGGGCCAATTACCTAAGCATGACCAATCAACTTCAAAACTGCAAAGTATTAACGATCAGATTAGATTTGATTAGATTAAGTAGATTAGATAGAACTCCTAGCCACGTGTTTGAGCCACATGGTCGAGGCTGAACCTCATCACAAGCCCATCACTGGTCACTGATCATAGATAGGGGCGTGGGAGCTGTTCATATTGATAATAATAATACTCATCGTCGTCGTCGTCGTCATCATCATCATCATCATCATCATCACTGCCGTAACCTCATTCATGCTGTCGTCCTTTTCCTGTTCATAGCACCCTGCATCTTGCTCTATTGTGCCCGAAACTTCCTTGGGAGCTTCGCCAACACCAATCCATCCCACCCGCTCCTACAACCGCTGCACTGTTGTCCAGCCTATTGCAAACTTCTTCTCCTTGGACTTCTCCGAGACTCATTGAGGTCTCCGCCAGAATAGTAGTCTATCTTTCAGGCTTCGGCTTTCAGTGTCTACTTTATAGAGCTTTTTGTGCTCTTCGTAGGGATCGTGGTCGCACTCATAGTCAACATGTACAAACGCTCGCTCGACATCGCTCAAGCCTTTTGTCCCTCTTAGTCACCCACTATCCACGGGGGAGACCAAGCAATGCAACAGCAAAGAAAAACCACGCACCTTCGAACTTCCTTTGGAGTGATTGGCTAACGTCATGCGAGATCCTGAGCGGCGTATCCGTGTGCATGATGATATCAACCTCCACATAGTACCGCTGGCCAGCGTGGTACGCTCGGCACTACATTTCCATTAGCTCATCTTCTGACAGATATTCACAAGAGGGTATGTGGTATACTCCAGGGTTGACTTACTGTGTCGACCTTGAGTATCCGGGAGTCATGTGTCATAGCAAGGTAGATAAGTTTGGAGACGAAATCTGCTGGTGCCGATCTCCCTACGAGAAGCCATACCTGCTCAAAGGCATTGGAGACCCATGAGAAGAGTATAATCAAGGCAATAATGATAGCGCCCGTGGGATCTGCAAACCAAGCGTCACGGTTCTTTCCGACGATGGATAAAGTCAAACCGAAGCTATTGACGAGGATGTCGTTCCGGTGATCAATCTAATGCAAGCTAAGTCTACGCAACACTTTACCACACGATGAACATCCACTCACGAAGAAGACATGGACAGATGGATACCTGCGGTAGAAGAAGCAGTATACCATCAGGGTGCTTTTGGCAAAGACTACACATCGACATTAGCGCCCTCGTCGAGGTCTTCCCCTCATAGGTGCACGCACTCGCCACGCCCACAAATACCAATGGTATGATCTGGAGCTGCTCTGACCCCCTACCCCCCGCTGCTAGTGTTCTTATGGACTCGATCTATACCGTCGGCTGGTTAGAGTTGCCGACTATCAGGGGCGGGCCGTTCCTCGAGGTTTAGGTGCAACTTACAAGAAGCTCAACCGCTACGGTAGTCAGCAGCGAGCAGAAGAGAATGATGCCGATCGTTTCGATTCTTGTGCGGCCCTGTCACGTTCTTGAGTAATGGCCCCCGACGAACAGGCTATTGCAGATGGACACCCACCACTGGGTACTTGTATACATTGGGCTGGGCAGCTACACGGGATGTTATCCATATGATAAAGGACGACACGAGGTCCACCTAAGTGCATATTAGAGATTTTCTCTCAGTGCGGGGGGTGTGTGATCACGGACAAAGGCATCGGCAGCAGTGGCAAAGAGCTTATTTCAGTCAAAATTAGTGAGAACGACGGAGAGGGGGCCGCCGAACTAGTGGGTCACTTTACAGATAGGGAGCCGGTTGATGCAGCAGCATAGACCTGGATGATGAAGAGCCCGAAGTTAACTAGGAAGGAGGCGTTGACGGCCAATTTTATCCTAGGGCCCATACGGGCATCCTCCTCGACCTGAAGACGTTCTTCATCCTCGGCGCCGAGAAACTGGTCGATGAGTTTGTTTTGTTGCACATAAAACTTTTGGAGTTTCCCCCCGTCGCTGTTGGGGTAGTCGCTTTTTAACTGGCTTTTCGTAACGTTGCTGCGTCGATGACGGCCAAGATCCAAGGGATCTGAAGGATCTGCGTCGGCACCAGTGGTGGACAAGGCTGGAGAACCGCAGACGCATGCCGTCTCTCCGGGCTGATGCGATGCCGCTGCAGCTTTGCCGACTTGAGACGCTGTCGCTTGACTGGTGCAGTCTTTACATATACTAGCATCAGCTGATTTGACCATACATCATGATACGAAGGGTGCAGACACTACTGGGATGATATGCACCTTGCAGCGCATCCTGCAAACTGTTGGAGGGGCATTCCAAAATCGGATGCAGAACCGGAGTTACTATACGCACCTATATCCTGGCATGGATTGTGCATTGAGGCCATGGCTAAGACACAATTACTGTATACCTGCACTGATTGAATTGATAAAGAATAAAAACAGTGCATGGACACATGAAGGTGAGAGCGAAGCCAAGTACACAATGCTACTCATAATATACCCGTCGGTGCTTGCGATGACATCAATTCGACCGCCTCATGGTCATGACGTATACTATGCCACGAAAACCAGTCAGCTTACGGCATTGCCTTGGAATGGCTATAGCACTATATTTCACGGAGTGTGAGTGGTGACTGAGGGCAGCAACCATTCAGAGAGAGCATGGGCTTCCCTACTCTCCCTACCCTGCGTACACGTACAGGATGCGGGCACAGGCGGATGTAACGGTACACCAGCCGTAGCTCCCGCCTTTTTGTCCTAAGTATGCAGCGTTTGCATGTACGTCGTGGCACACCGCAAATGCACGCGATGACTATACAACATGGTGGCACAACATGGCAGCAGGAGTTACGGCGAGGGGAGCCCAGCTCGAGAGAACTGTACACTACAGTCTCAGTCTCAGTCCGCCAGCTATGAAGAAGATTGTCTTTGTTGTGTTGTTCCTTTGCTCCATTTGACGTGGCTGTGAGGCGAGATCAGCAGTGTTTCTCCAACACTAGGTATCGCATTGTGCGGATGCAAGCGGATGCTGTTTACAAATCCCTTGTCGCTCGTTTTAAGCCTAGCATTCTTTGGTCTCGGAGCCTCTGACTGGCCCAAAAATGGGCGGGTTATCTGATTACCGAGAGGTCCACGGGTCGCGCTGTATCATACAGTACGCTGTGTATGTAATGCACTCACTCACATTACCCCGGCCAGAGCCCGGCCCCGTAACAGCCGGAGGTCCAAGCACAGGCGCTCACATACTAGCTAAGGCAAGGTATGGTCTTCTGCCAAGCCTTACATGCGGCACGATGCGGCTCGGCATCCAGACTTTGCTCACTACCGGTCACGTTTGACTAAAAGGAGCCTCTAGTTCTACCTCGACATAGCAGGTGTTTGGTAGGTCTGGGGTCGCCGAGGCTGGGTATCTGTGCCACGCCGTATAGGCCGCGAACAACGACATATATGAATTCTGACACTACTTGTGTGTGCATTGGGAGATCCTCATGACTTCGCTATATGCGCTTCGCAAACAAACCTCCCTTTGTGTGACATGCTCTTCACTTGGCATGTCAATCTGTGCACAGTAGACAAATTCTCTCCCGGTATGATATGTCTCCTAGTATTCTTGGCTCGGGGCACACATGTTGGATATGTCACGATCAGCCTCATATCCATGCTACGGTGTGAATTCGAAAGCCCTCTTGAGCGGCCGACCTACATGGCCAAGTACTACACCCTTGTAACATGGCTAAACTCTGATTGACTGGCGCGACTGCGGACGAACTTGTGTCTCAGCGTCCAAGAGCTGCGAGATAACATTGCATGACCTGTGAGGCTGGCATCTTCGCAATTACCTCCTCTTTCGACGTCGACTCCACCAAGATACAGTCGATAGTGTCTCAGCGCTTACTTTCTGCGTCTCGGTCGTTATCCCCAAGGAGGTCAAGCGGAGATCACTTAATACTGTTCTATATTTGCAAATGGCGGGGATGTTGTCAACCCTGACGATCAACAGATGGTTACGGGGTGGTATTGATCTATGTATTAAAACAGGTGGTCTGCTACTCTTACCGAGCCTTGAGACGACAAGCACATAACATCAAGGAGATCGTTCCACTAGATAGCCCTTCTCCGATCCACAAGTCGCAGGACGACAAGAGTTGTTCTTCATCGCCGGTTCTCGATTCGCAAGACACTCTCCAATCTACCCATATCTGCTTTTCATCTCAGAACCCGGCAGGAAAATAACCGGAAAGTCCCATCTTTTGCAACATGTCAGGCAACATGGAAAAGCCCGTCTGTGGTAGTGGTAGCTCCGTTGGAGAATACGATGTTGGATTACATACAGCTGGTCTTTGTTAGTATTTGGACCAAAAGACGCTATCATGATATCGTTGCTTAGTTGCTAACACATCATGTACAGTTCTGGTATTAGCCGCCTCGGCTTTCGGTACGAGGATAGCCGTCAACCTACCAATACACAACTCGCTAACATACTGACCTCTATTCAGGAGCTGGTTTCCCGGTAGCGGCTAAGAAAATCAAGTGGCTCAAAGTGCCCACGAAGGTATTTTTCGCCTGTAAACATTTCGGTACTGGAGTACTCATAGCAACGGCATTTGTCCATGTAAGTCATTCGCGTTTACACGCCGTACTCCATTGCTCATATGCTAATTAACTATACAGCTTCTTCCTACGGCATGGCTCAGCCTATCCAATCCATGCCTCCCGGATTTTTTCGTTGTCCAATATCCGCCCTTGCCTGGAATTATCAGTGAGTTACTCCTCACTATTCACCTGGCAGGGGATAATTGCTGACTTGACCAAAATAGTGATGGCATCGCTGTTCAGCTTGTTTGTTATCGAGATGTGGATGAACAACAAGATGGGCGGCCATTCCCATGGTGGGGCCAGAGGCTTTGAAGAGACCCATGATCATGCTAGTACTGCTAGTATCACTGACCCATCTCCCTTACCGTCAAGGCCGACTCGATCCTCCACCCTGAGCAGTTTCGAAGTAGATGTTTCCAGTCCCGTGAAGGAAGGGGAACTAGCGAGTGAATCTAAAGAAGAGATTGTGGTAAGAGAAACGCAGGTACAGGATGTTGAAAGCCAGGTGGATCCTCTGGTTTACAGGAGGATGAACAGTAAGTTATTCTATAATCTCGCGGGAATTCTCATGTATTGATCATGGCTTGTGTAGTGAACATCACATTGCTTGAGGGAGGAATCTTGTTCCACTCGGTCTTCGTGGGAATTACTGTCTCTATTACGATTGATGGCTTCGTGGTGCTACTCATTGCCATTATATTCCACCAAGTGTTCGAAGGCCTCGGACTAGGCTCACGAATCGCAGCTGTGCCATACCCCAAAGGAAGCAGTGAGTATACGCACAAAATAAGCCCAATGGAAAATAAGACAACAGTTCGCTTACCATTTTCTTCGTTTTGCAGTCCGACCATGGCTTTTAGTATTCGCATTTGGCACCACAGCACCAATCGGCCAAGCCATTGGTTTGGCTACGCGCGGCGCCTACGACCCCAACAGCGCTTTTGGGCTCATCATCGTTGGCATCTTTAATGCAATGTAGGTCCGGCCCTCAAAATATAGAGCCGGATATTGTCGCTCACAAATCACAGCTCATCCGGTTTATTGATCTACGCTGCCCTGGTGGATCTACTTGCCGAGGATTTCCTATCTGAAGAATCCAACCACACCCTGACAACGAAAGAGAAGAAAATCGCTTTCATGTGGGTGATATTTGGCGGTACGGCTAGCTCCTTCCCTCTCGCTCTGGACGCTCAAACTAACATTCAATAGCCATCGGCATGTCCATTATTGGCGCTTTCGCTTAGATGCTATATCAAGATATATATCGAAGTTTTGAAGCAGGACGCTGGTGGGTAACGGCCTCCAAGTACATAACATGAGTTTGCTATTTATCAAACTATTATCGAGGGCTATCACGAAGACAACGCATGACGATAAAGATCAACAAAAGTAATGCTACCTAGTCTTGGGGGTGTAAGATAGATTCTTAGACCTAGCTACAACAAGATGGGTGGCTGCTGCATACTCGGAGTTATTGGTTGGGTTTAGACACTCGGATACTACAAAACAGTCATTACCGCTCGCGCGCGCACAAAATAAAAATATTCAAACAACCACCAAGTGACGAACTGGCTCTTTCCCCCAGCCCTCTCCTCAACCCTCTCTAGCCAAGCAGCTTACTGTTGAAAGATTTGTTACTTGTCAACGAAATAAGCGCATCTGCATCCAAGAAATGGGCGAGACGAACCAACGAATGGGATGCCATAATTGTCTATAATCCCATGCAACCTCGTATAGCGCGAAAAACCGCAAGAGGAAAACCACCTTGCCCAACCTTGCCCATTGTGTCCTATCCCGCACAGCAGTCTTTACCCCAGTACTGCCCTAGGTAGACCCAGGACCCTTGTTCCACTTTTTTTCGGTTGGAGTTGCGATCATCGGAAACAAGGGTGGTTACTAATGATCTCTTAGAATCCCTTATGTAGTCTAGCATTTTCGAACGCGGAAGCGGCGCGGAAGCCTTGGCGTTGTCGCGGGGTTCCATTTACCGTGAGGATCAAACTGACATGGGAATGTTTAGCCCAATTTTCGTTTTCCTTGGCCCTCCTCCTCCTCCCCCGGCCGGCACTTACGTGTAACTAGTATTCTGTTGCTGCTTGTTTGAGACGCTTGGTATTTTGTTTTTGTTATGTAAATTCATGGTAAATATAGCTCATGGTTTCCGGATAAATCGGATCACCGGGATATGCGAATTGTTGTTGTTATGGCTTGGCTGAGACGTCTCGTGCGTCGCTTGGGGGGGGAAAGCTGAGGCTGTGAAGTTGATTCAGAAGGTAATTAACTTACGCGTCTATGTTTCAAGGCATTTTCCGTGTTCACATCGACCTTATGGGAGTGCTTATAGCTGGCTTCATGTCTATATATTCGCCTCACTCCCGCGTCGTGAAAAGATTCTCGGGAATACTAGTCATTTAGTCTTTTGGACTCCGATTACATCTTGCCCATCTACTCCAGGACCCTGATACTCCATACTATAGCCCTCCGAGCGTCTAACATGTTGGTCATAATCGGTATCGTAGTAGTACTGTGTGATACATGTTGTTGGGCAAGGTTTGTCGAGGTCTATAACCAGGACTGATAATCTGCCATGGCTGAGTCGGTATATGTGGTCTTCTCAAAATACTTCCGACCAAGAGGGTTGACCTTGACCCTGTGAGAATTGCGACTATGGAGTACTATGGTGAGACTTGTTGCTGCACGAAGGTCTATGAAGCCTTCGTGGCTAGGCTAAGGCTATATACATCAAGTCTCTTTGTCTGTAGTAACCGTAGGATCGTGACAGATCCTATATATGGAACTGGCCGGCTTTTGCCAACCTCAGAACTCTGCCATTACGTCACAATCAAGGGAGGGCTGAATAGCCTTACTTTATGTTACACGCGCGTAGAGCTGAAGATGCAGCTCGCCTAATATGGCTATGGGCATAATACAGGTTAATCATGATCTTCGAGAGATATGCAGGCAGTATTGAAAATGAGATTATACAGACTTCGCTTCTTGTAACAGATCAGTGAGACCTAGGCGGTCAGGACTAGTAGTTCAATTGTATATACTGTAGAATCAAAGTCAGCCACGAAGACCAAGGAATTGATTGGCCGATGACTTTCGCAGCCCTAGTGGTTCATTATATGGTACATAACATCAATATCAAGCCCATATCTGCACCTTTGTCATATTTTCGAACACGAAGGGATGTCTCATGTCTATTGACAACACGACCAGACTTTGCAAGCAGCAGAAGTATAGGATGTCCAGCCCGGCTAGTACGTGTATTAAGATATTTGTAGTCATGCCGAAAATACGCTGAAGAAATATATTATGAGAACCCGTTGCCCCGCTTCCGCTGAGGCACACCGAAAAGGTCTAAGGGCATCGTGGAAATATATAGTGTGTGTCACCGATAGTGCCGGATGATAGACATTGATGTGGGCGTCTATATTGCCTTGATCCTCACAGTACAGAGCAGCTGCTGGTCCTCGGTAGAACGGGCGCAGCTACATAATTATTATCTTGAAGTGTATTAATTCAGCCCAACTCGTGTGAATTCTTTTTTCTACCTCCCACTAAACTCCGTGTATTTCAGAATGCGAAATCACTGTCGATAAAGCACACACCTAATTTGTATGTATATATAATTCCAGTAAAGGCTGCGGTCAATGGATAATTGAAGCTATATATCTAATAAGTTGTTATGGCGGTTAAGGTTGGTCTATCTAGATCCCTCGCTAACTTTGGCGGCTGGACTTCACTTTATATCCGACTGGAATGTATTCCTAACCTCCGACATCCGTCAATGTCTCATACAAGCGAGAGCTGAATAGCCTCACTTCTTCACACGGTGTTGTGCCTTGTTTCTCTTGGGCATACATCCAGACTCTGCAAGAAACACAAGTACAACGTATACACCGTAGTCTGTATGTGTGACAACCACCCACCAAACAAGTAGCACAATGGCCACGTGGACTGTCAAGCAGGGCTAGAACATCATTAAGGACGGACGGGTGATCTCTCTCTCTGTCTCGCTCTCTCTCTCTACAATATGCGGGGAGATTTGTACTCGTGCAATTCTACATATCATAAGAACACAGAAGACACGAGACGATGATGTTTGAAACGAGTTTTTGAGAGTTCCAAAGCTCTCGAGATTCATTAATCGATACCGAAGATATGAAGCCATACGCCGACAATGCCGCATCATAAATATCCAATAACGCCGTTAATGTAAACCGCCAATTATTTCAAACATCTCAATCGCTGGGGATCATGGAGGAGGAGACCGACGCATCCAAATCTAACCTCTTGTAAGAAGTCATGCACTCATATAACCAATGCCTCTACAACTTGGCCACCGAGTGTATCACGCCTTCACAACCGAGCTGGTTACTTCATTGATGCTTCTCAAGATATTCAAGATGTTTTTTTTAGAACACCTTACCCTTGTAGTCCTTGGGGGCCAGGATGACGTTGTACTCGAGCTCCAGCTCAGCCTTGTTGTCACCCTGGAGGGGTTTAAAGTCGACAATCAGGTCGTCTTTGACGGCAAAAACGGTGTCAGTCTCCAGCCAAGGGTCATCCTTAGGGTACAGCTGTGTTGTGCAGCCCTTGTAGTCGGCATGAGTGACCTGGCACGCGAGCGTCATTAGTCTCGGGAGTTTTGCTGTCAAAGCAAGTGAATAACAACTTACCATGATATGAATGTGGGCGGGACGCATAGGGTGGCGATCCATCATCTGTAGAAGTTGCCACGAGGGTCCATCCTGGGGTAGCGAGTACGCCGTAGGGTGGTAACAGTAGAACCAGTATTTGCCGTTCTCGTCGGCGCGGAATTTGCCGCGAAGGTTGTTGGGGGATTGGTTCTCGGGGTCCTGGAAGTCGTACTTGCCATTGGACGAGGCCTGCCAGATGTCAAAAACAGCGTTGGGGATGGGCTTGCCGGTGACCAGGTCGCTGATAACGCCATGCATGAGACACACGCGACCAGTGGGGTTCGGGTTCTGGATGATAGAACCTCCGTTCTCACGGAACGGGGCATTGGGTGACCAGAAGGGTCCGAGAATGGCGGACGATGTGGGGTCGGTGCCTGTGTCGGATACAATCTTGTGGGCGATTTCATCCACGACCCTGAGATATGTTTAGCTTGAATCGACCCATTTCCTTGCTGTTGTTCACCACGTGCTCGTGGGAAAAAATAAAAAATAAATAAATGAATAAAATAGATGGCTGTCAAGTAAATACTACAACGTACGATTCAAGACCAAGGATGTCGCATATACGGTGGGTTTCATTTCGAGTCTTATTCGATTCGGCGTAGATACGGCCTAGCTCGTTGACGAACTTGACGCCGGCCATCCACTCGTCAATGGTCAGTTCGACCTCACGAGAGAAGTCGTGGATGTGGCGTATGAGCGCGCCCAGGACTTGTCGATTGCGAGGTGTGGTGTTTGGGCCCATAGTGTCGAGGCAGTGCTGTGTAAAGGTGGGATCGAACCTTGAGGACTGAGGCGGCACTGCGGCGTTGGATACGCCGGTGTTTTGTGGGAGAGACATGTTGAGATACTTCTAGGACAGTCTGCTCGGTGGGAAGAATGTAGGAGCGCAGGTAGGATGGCAGGGCAGGGCAGGGCAGGGCAGGGCAGGAAGATGATGAGTTGAGGGAAGTGAGCAGAGAAGCAGAAGCAGAAGCAGAAACACGGCGGACAAGCAACTTCTTTATGTATCGGTTTGCTTCATTCTGGCAGGCAGTCATCCGCAACATAATCGGCCATGATGGTGAACCCCGCCAATGATCCATGCCCGCCGGTGGTGGATCGGCTGGATGTCGCGGAGTGCGGTCGGTTCATTGCGGGTCAAATATCACCCTTAGCAGGAAACTCTGTTCCATGGGGTCCGCGTGAGACGTCAAAGCATCCCAAGCATCCCGCCGCTCAGTGGTGGTGCCTGTTTCGGGTTGATGAGACCTGCACCGACGAGTATGACCCCAGTCTAGGTGATTCACCGCCATCGTGGCAATCAATTGTCACACAACCAAGTCAAGACGTGGCTGCAAGTCTCGTACTTGGTGCTGGAGCCAGCTCAACTGCACTCCTTCAATGATGCTGAGCCTGCTTACCTCACCTCACCCGGATACTCTACAGGCTGGCATCACCCGTCCAGATACCCCGACGTTCTAAACCGTCCCCCGGAAAGTCGACATGAAAAGCGTTTACCCGGCAAGACAGCCGGGAGAATGAGTCGACATACCAGAACCGCCTGTCGCCATCTGGACAGCGTTCCACTCTCTCCCATAGTCGCCATAGTCTGCCGTCCCCCCCTGGATATTGACCCGCAGCGCGCACTCTAGGCGTGATCATCTACCGCCACTGGTGCCGATCTGAGTTTGTGGCAGCATTGTGCTTGCGCAGACTTGTGGCTCTCCAAAGACTTCTTTTCCGTAGGGCAGAACCCCAGCCAGACCCAGCACAGGGCTCTACTTATGTGGGTGCTGATCATGACGGCGCTAGGGTAGTTGGGACGGCTCCAAATCTCCCCCGCAACCAATGGCAGACGCCGTAATTCGTCCAACGCCTCGTCGTTCGTCAGTCTAGTGCGGGGACGTTTTGAGAACAGTACGTCTCGATGCCGTTGGAGAAGCCGTCTTGCTTTTATTTCCCCGAACCGTTTGAACCGGTGGTGCTGAGCCTGGCTGCGAGCACATGAATCCACGCGCTGGGTGGTTCGCTGGCTGGTTCGTCTCTTCTGGGGTGCTGTGATTGTTGCCAGCAGTCGCACAGAGTGTCAAGCCACTCATCAATCAGTCAATCAATCCATTATCGAAAGCCGCTTGCATTATCTTGTGCTTCCGTCGTACGAGACCACGCGGCCTGATTGAATGCATGCTGCGAGTATCTTCTCCACTTAGAAAGGTCTCACACAGCCTCTATACGCAGTCCAAGATGCCGCTTCATCACTTGATGATAGGAACATGGACGCCGCCAGGCGCTATCTTCACCGTGGCCTTCGACGACGAGAAATTGACGTTGGAGCTGGTCAAGCGAACTGAAATTCCTAATGACGAGCCCATCTCATGGATGACCTTCGATGTGAGTTCTAGGGCGCGTCCCTCACCATGCCCATCCCATTGCTTACCCCATCGCCGCCTCACAGCACGCCAAGAAGAACATCTATGGAGCGGCCATGAAGAAATGGTCTAGCTTCGCCGTCAAGAGCCCGACGGAAATCATACATGAGGCCTCGCACCCGATGAACCACGACCGTAAGCCGACATGATGTCGTTCAGTAGTCCCAACACCTTCGCATGTGCAGCGATTCTCTAACGTGGAAACGGCTGGGTCAAAGCCCAAGCGAGCCTAGCTACGACTAATACACGCGCCATCTTCCTCCTCGCGGCGAAACAGCCCCCTTATGCCGTCTACTGCAACCCCTTCTACTCCCACGCCGGTCATGGGAGCGTCTTCTCGATCTCATCGTCAGGTAAACTCGCCGACAACATTCAGAACTTCCCTTACCAGCCGAATACGGGAATTCACGGCATGGTGTTTGATCCGACGGAAACGTACCTGTACTCGGCGGACCTCAAGGCGAACAAGCTCTGGGTTCACAAGAAGGCGGGTTCAGGTTCGGTGGAGCTCGTGGGCAGCGTGGATGCACCAGATGCCAAGGACCATCCACGATGGGTGGCGATGCATCCTTCAGGTCAATACCTGTACGCGCTCATGGAGGCGGGCAACAGGCTCTGCGAATACGTGATCGATCCGGCGACGCACATGCCTGTATATACGCATCACTCGTACCCGCTGATCCCGCCCGGCATCCCCAACTCGAACACGATGTACCGTAGCGATGTCTGTACTCTGACCAAGTCGGGGCGGTACCTGTTCGCGACGAGCCGGGCCAACAGCTTCGACCTGCAAGGGTATATTGCGGCGTTCCGGCTGCGAGACTGCGGGTCGATCGAGAAGCAGATATGTCTCAACCCAACGCCGACGAGCGGCGGCCACAGCAATGCGGTGGCACCGTGCGACTGGAGCGAGGAGTGGCTCGCCATCACGGACGACCAGGAAGGGTGGGTCGAGATATACCGATGGAAGGACGAATTCCTCGGGCGTGTCGCGCGGTGTCGCATCCCAGAGCCTGGCTTTGGCATGAACGCTATCTGGTACGACTAGAGAAAACGCTCGGCGCGGCGGGCCAAGAGATTGGCACTCAGACAGAGGCAGATAGGTGACAGATAGGTAATAGAAGTCGGGATTCTGATTCGACCTGGGCGCTGCTGGTTCGCATCTCGGCCGACCAAGCCGATCTCGGGCCCGCTTGTGGTCATATGACCGGTGTAGAAAAACTGCGCATCGTGAAGATGGGAGACGGAGGCAGATGGAATTGGCAATGCAACGGTACCTATGCATGCATCCTCGGTGCTATCCTGTCTACCACATGATGTTAGCTGGTAGGTTTATCAGATAGATGCCCGAGAGAGAGAGAGAGAGAGAGAGAGAGAGGCCTTGTCTGGCTACGGAGTAACATACGAGTAGAGTACATACCTACCTACCTAATTGATCAAATCAATCAATGAATGCATTGATCAATGATCTGTAGCGAGGTCCAGGTGAGTCGAGAGGTGAGAGGCGAGCTCGGTTCTGCTCGATAATGCATGGCCGACACCGTATACGGAGAGACATGCGCTTCCGAGATGTGCTTGTTGGAGGTCTAGACTACCTACCTATGTCTGAGGCAGGTATCTGGTCTCTAATCTGGTCTCTACAGATCTCTCTCCTGCTGAAAGTCCTATTCTGGGGGGCTTGCAGACCTACTTTGCACAAAATGGCGGATGCAGGCTTGGCGACGTCATTTCATATGTCCAACCACTGTGAACCCTGGCAACGTCGTTGCTTTTATCTGCAGACTGCAGAGCTTCTCATGCACCTCACTGGAAGCTACCCTGCCTGCAGATGCCTATATGATGCTACCTAGCCTACCCGGGCCAAGTATGTACTACCTAGGTATGTAATTGTCCAACCTTGGAAGGGTTGCAATGTGTTCTGGTCATCAATGTTAGCTCAGTAGGTACCTCTCTCCTTTTCTATCAAGGATAGTTACTTTATTCGCCTTTATTATTATCGCCTGGTCATCTACTGTGTAGTGGTTTACTTCGTAGGTACCTATAGGTATATAGGTATATAGGTAGGTGGTGAGCTACAGTACATAGGTACATAGGTACATGCATACATCCAATCAAAGCCTCCCAGCCCCACTCACTTCATCTCCACTCCTCTACTCCATCTTCCGTCATTTATTATTTCACGAGTCGACCATTCGACCATCAACTCGAGAGTCGAAATTCGAGAGGCAAGACGCCATCGTCCGAGTCCTGATCCCGCGATTGTTCGGCCAACCCGTCCGCGCTCGACCGGCTTCCCACCTTGCCCAGCTTCATCACTTTGTGTCAGCGAGATACGCTTGGAGCATCGTACTCACTGCCTAGCGTTACTAACAATAACTGAATCCGTGGCGCAGGGTTTTTACTCCGTGCTAGGTTAGCTGCGTACCTTTCTTTGCCTTTCCAACTACCGCATACCCAACGCTATTGTCGCAGCCCTTCCCACCGAGGTTGGCCTAGCTGCTTGCCGCTCGATACCGATGCATCATCGCCCGAATGGCCACCTTCTCCATGCCCGCACAGCTGTCCTAGGCTTGGCCAGGGCTCTGTTCGCAGGCCTTGCCGGCCTCGCCGTCGCCGCCCCGACTCGCCACGAATCCCTCGTGCCCCGCGACCACCATGACAACCTCCCCGAGGCCGAGGGTAGCGCCCTATGGGTGCTCTACGTCGTATCCATGGTCCTCGTCCTCCTCGGCGGCGCCTTTGCCGGCCTAACAATCGCGCTCATGGGCCAGGATGAGATCTACCTGCGCGTCATCTCTCTCGATCAAGAAGAACCTCAACACAAGAATGCAAGCCGCGTACATCACTTGCTGAAGCGTGGCAAACATTGGGTGCTCGTCACACTGCTCTTGTCCAACGTCATCGTGAATGAGACTCTTCCTGTCGTCTTAGATCGATGCTTTGGTGGTGGCATTGCTGCCGTTGTCGGGAGTACTGTGTTAATTGGTACGCATATTTCTTTCTTGTCTCTTTCTTTTCTTCTAATTGTGCTGTCTTGGTCATACTGATTATGTTTCGCGCCCACCCAGTCATCTTCGGCGAGATTATCCCACAATCCCTCTGTGTTCGCTATGGCCTCCAGATTGGTGGTTACATGTCGAAACCCGTCTTGCTCCTAATGTACATCATGGCTCCCGTGGCATGGCCAACTGCAAAGCTTCTCGACTGGCTTCTTGGCGAGGACCATGGTACTATATACAAGAAAAGTGGTCTCAAGACGCTCGTCACTTTGCACAAAACTCTTGGTGAGGTGGACGAAAGGTTGAACCAGGATGAGGTCACAATCATAAGTGCGGTCTTGGATTTAAAACGAAAGCCTGTGGAGGAGGTCATGACACCCATGAACGACGTGTTTGTTATGTCTGAGGACACCGTACTAGACGAGGAGACGATTGACCAGATCCTTGATGCCGGGTATTCTCGCATCCCCATCCACCAGAGTGGCAACCCCACCAATTTTGTCGGCATGCTTCTAGTAAAAATTCTGATAACTTACGATCCTGAGGATGGCAAGCGTGTAAAGGACTTTGCTCTTGCCACCCTACCCGAGACGCGCCCTGAGACTAGCTGTCTCGACATCATTAATTTCTTCCAGGAAGGAAAATCCCACATGGTGCTGATATCAGAGTATCCCGGTGATGATCATGGTGCGCTCGGAGTCGTGACCCTAGAAGATGTTATAGAAGAACTCATTGGAGAGTAAGTCATTGCGAAATCCATGATTGTATTCCAGTTGCTAATGTAGCCCCCGACAGAGAGATCATTGACGAATCCGATGTCTACGTTGATGTGCATAAAGCAATTCGCCGAGCCCATCCAGGACCTCATGCTCGAGCTCACCGGAAAGACTTGCTAGCCAAGGACATGCTTATTGATTTAGCTGAGGAAGGGGTGACAAAAGGGGCTGAAGACCAAGTTAGCCATTCAAAGCGTACCTCTTCTGTCAATGGAAGGTCTGAGGCTTCAGTCTTATCACAGAGTCCGATGAAGACGACTTTACTTCTAAGGAAATCTTCTGCCGATCAGAATGGTAAAACGATGCATACAACGGTTCCTTTCAAAACAAACCTCGAGGATATGAGGGATCACTTCAAAAATCTTGGCCCATCGAACCCTGCATCGAACCCAAAAAGTACTCGAGTGTCCGCGGTTAAGATCAAACCAGGACCAACCACGAACTCGACGGCCCAGCCGACGTCCGGTTCGGTAGACGTTATCCAGGAGGACCCGCACAGCAGCAATGTAGACGAGCGCACAAGCTTACTACGACCTCAAATAACCGTCAAGGATGGCGTCCAAGCTTTACACCATAGTCACTATGGGCCGGGATCTCCTGGCTCTGTGAGAGGGGAGTTACAAAAGCCTTCTATCATCACGACAGGTGGTAGTCAGACACCCGGCAAAGAGAATAATACTTCGAAACAATCGACGTCGAGCGAAGGCACTGCATCACCCACTGATGGTGAAACAGGACTGATCGTCCGCCGAAGGGGGCATGTCCGAAGTGGCAGTATTACAGAAAACATCGTGGAAGCTGGCGGCGTACGGAAAGTTGTTCTCGAGGCGAACAACTCTTCAGAATCCGAAGAAGACGTGAGTCCAGGAACTTCATCTGATGGTGATAAATCTTCCACAAACAACAAGAAAAAGCGTGATAGGCGTAAGGCCAGGAGGGGTCGTTCGTAAATGCTTGTAAACCGGGACGACTTATTCGTTGAACCACCGTAATATGGGTATGTCAAGCGGGGTTCCCAACTTAGGATAGAGCTTGTCATGATTTCCCTATTGTACCACAGCAATGTATTAGTAAGGGCTATAATCAAGCAATGAAAGAAAAAACATGTTCTTTTGGCCCTATATTTCTCCTCGAGCCATATCTACTAGCCGTTCAGCATCTCATTTAGGAAAAGATGTTCGAAGCACGTACATGGTATAACAAGGGCAGGTGACTAGGCTTGGAATTGAAGCTATTCGGACTGCAATGATCAACTGGGGCTGCAAGAGTCCTTGACTAACCAATTCCTTCTTGGCCTTAGTGGCTTGACTCGATTCTATATACAACTGGTCTGCCAGCCCTTATCGCCTAGGCTTCATTGGCTTGTTTCATAAAGCGAAGTCTGTACAACTTCATTTTCAATATTGTCCCATGTCTTTGAAGATCATGAACAGCCTGCGATGGCCTTTGGTACGGCCGAAGCGCTAGGCGTACTGGATGTTCAGCTTTTACGCGTGTAACACATGGTGACTGCTGACGAAACCTCTCATGAGATGATGCCTATCTTTGTTTGGAATAAAACAACTTCTTTGATCCACAATGCTGTTCATCGTACTAGTCCTCTGTCATGGAACAGAACGAGCGCTCGGACAACACTTGGTTCTATTGATATGACACTCTCCCGGAATATAAAAGCCTGGAATCTATATGTCCTTGGGCTGATCCCAAGGCACCAGACAGCCGTCGTTTGACGCAACAAAGCTCAACAACAAACCCTTTAGCATATCTTTAGCGCCCTCCTTACAATCGAACCACTTGAAAGAAAGTATTTGTTTTCATTATCCTCAATCTACCGACAGAATGCCTACTTACGGCCCGTCTGCACAAAGCACTGAAGTGGAGTACATCCCTGATCTACTACTGCCAAAAAATGAGAGCATTGAATACCTAAGGTATATCGTCTACCTCCTTGAACGCAAGACAACAATAACACGCAGAATTTTAGAGAATCATACAACGACGGATGATCAAGGTGATGTAGAGATGATTGACGTCGACGGGAACTCTGACCCAACCACGCCGGCTTTAAAGCGAATCATCTTTAAACCGGAGGCGATTCGATTCGTCTTCGAGTCGGACTCGCCTTCTTCGTCAGAGACTCCTTCACTTCCCTCATCTTCTACCCCTAGAGCCTGACGTGGATGAAAGGCAGAGGAGAGAGAGAAAGAAAGAAAGAAAGAAGATAGAAAACGGCATACAGTCAGTATGAACATAACTTCCATGGGCGCACGTTTTTTTGTTTAGCTGTTTTTAACAAGAAGTTACGGGCCTTTTAGAAATGTGAGGATCTAGAATATGAAACAAAAACTAATAAAATTGAAGACCTTAAATTCAGGGGAGGAAGGGAGACAAGTGAACATGGTGTATAATGGAAATGCTCGAGCATGGAATCTACAGCGAGGAGTAGCAGTTCTCTACAACGATTCTAGTGTATCAAAATAGCATTTATATCTTCACCCTGCAGACATATCTCTTAAGGTATTTAATGTTACCAAGGCGGATAGCAGAGGTGCTGGTGTCTAAGGTGAATACAATTCCCTTAGTTTTGGCTGTGAGTATAGTGCCGAACGTGGCAGGATGAACTTATATTCTAGAAAGACTCGTCGGTTCTCCATGGGACTATATCAATACGGATCTTGGTGTATCTGGTGCAGTACCATAATATGGGTAACTAAAATTATGTACGACGGATAGAACCTCACCGTTCGAAAAAGACACAACCTCCCCCATTTTACAACTTTTCTCATACGATTGAAGTGTCTGCAAGTAATGAGCGCGATCTCGGTTGCAACGTACATAATCAGTGGCGACGAAAAGTTATAAAAATAGGTAATTTATGCATTGCAATGGGTGAATAGGATTATGAATAGGATTGCCTATGTTATCATAGACATTGTTAGAGAAAGTTTATTGTCTCATTTACTTAAGACAGAGAGAGAGCGAGTGAATCATGGTGTATTAGACTCTAGTGGCGCTATTGCAAATGCCAAGTATACGGCTAGCCCAGGGTTTAAACAATCAAATCCATTGTCCCTCGGAGCTCATATTCTCGTCGTTGTATACTGCTAGTATAGTAGTTACTTAAGATGAACAACTAGGATAGAAATTGGGTAAAGACACAGCAAAAGAAAAGCAAATTAGTCATTTGGCACTTTACAATGACCATTCAAGCAATCAATAGCTCTGTTTTCATCTCTAGTTCCTATGCATTCTCCTCACATACTAGAGGCATATCAATATAGAAACGACCTATAGCCGACTACCTATCACAGCCAAGAAGAGCTTGTCAACTGTTTGAAACGCCAAATCTTGGCTTTTCGCCCCATGCCGCGCAATGAAGCAATCCAAGCCGTTTCAGGTACCCTCGAGTGGCTGTAGATCTCCCTCGCCCTGACGACCGCAAAACTCGGATCTGGCGAGCAGCTCGTCATGTTAAGCTTTATGGCTATTCTAGGCGTCTGCCGCGGCCCGCTGCCGTGCTGTCTCGGCACCGACAACCAAAGCTGTGCGAAACGCTTGGCTCGCAGATGTAAACAGTACATTACACGTAACGTGCTATCCCGGGTGTAAAAAGGCTACCTAGACGCCGTTTCCCTAGTAATTAATCAGCTCTTCTTAAGCGCCAAGCTTCGAGAAGAGAAAACAGCCGATGAATGAAAAATGTACAGACGCACAGGCTTCATGATCCACGAAACACCCAGCGGCTTCATAGTGAGACAGATTTCATGTGGTTACCTTTCTAATGAACATTGAATGCTTAGCCAAGTGAATATAGATCCAGACAATTAACCATCTTTCCCAACCAAATTATTCCACCGCTATTCTATACCATCAGACTAATTTCGCCTATCAATTACTACACGGGGAACGCAAAGGCGTCAGTTTGTGCCAATGTCCGTCGGGCCCCCCTTTTCGGAGAGCGTATTACGGTCTTGGCTTTCGCTGACGGGATCACGTCACGATGCCTGGCAGTACTTGGCAGTCATGGTTTCCAATTTGATTTTATCTACTTATAACATCATGTCAGATAATTTAACCTTCATTTATACGGCCATGAAACGACCATTGCAGCTGCACCTTGCCCTGTAATCCGTCTATACGGTTGTTGCTCGCCGTATATGCTAGGGCTTGCATTGGATTGTCCTGCGTCTCATCGTCGTCGTCGGCAGCTACATGTTAACGTTGCGTCTCTGCCTGGATAAGCAGCATGGGCACTCTTGGCTTGCATGAGGGACTCGGGGGGCTCTCCATGTGTCCTGTGTAATGTATACTTTATACAGCAGAAAGAGATACTTCAACGTGGCAAAATGTAGGTGTTTCCTTAATGTTTGTATGCGTCTATGTACGGACGTACGTTCCTCTCAGCCAAAAGCTGCCTGAGCTCTCCGGTGGCAGACGCCGCCCACTATACCTACGGACTCCGGCCGTCGTAATTGCGGCAGGCAAGTAGACAGGAGGTTGCTCATTTCTGCAACCAGCCGCATTTCGGGGGTTTACATCGGGGCCTCGGAACATCGGAGGCTGGTGTGGTAGCGAGTAAGCCACTCGGAGATCTTCGAGGTCGGTTGACGATAATTCCGAAGCTAACAACTAACCTCAAGGGCATCGGGAGTCGCGGGGAGTTGGTGATGGCTACTGCGGACGAGGCCTGCGTCGACATCTGTTGTTGGACGTGGTATGTAATTGTTATATGTAGGCCTCGTTAACGAGGCGGTGCGGCCAGTGTACATCGCTGCTCTGCTCTGCTCGCTCGCTCGCTGTGCCCGGCGGGGCCCGTGTCGGGATATGACCCTTTCCACCACATCATCCCGTTACAGGCATACACAGCTCGCCGGCTAGGTACCCTTATCACGATGGGCCGACGCACGAACATAACGAGCCGTGTGTGAGCGTTGTTATCCTTCCTGCTGCATGGTTGTCCAGTAGGAAGTGGCACGTCGGCGACTAGTGGGAGATGAGATGAGCGAAGGAGCCGCCACCCTTTCACATCAGATGTATGGGTGAGTGGGTAAGAAATGCCTGGCTTTTGTGCCACCATCTACTCGCCCCCGCATGAACGAGCTGAACAGAGATGCATACGCTATCCATGTCTATCAAATCGATCCACGATCGTCAGTTCAAGGGCGGCGTATCGCAACACAAGCCTTTTCGCGACCGTCTTACCTGCATCTGTCTCCTCTCGCATATCAGTCAAGCAGGCCAGTCACGACAAGGCCTGGGCTACCCCGCAGATGACTGCGCTGCTTATCAAGGGAAGCGATGTTGTTCCCTTCGCCTTGTAAGGGCTTAGCGAGTCCAGACGTTTGGGATATGACAGTGTTTGTGCATGAAACTGGAATGACCCGATCCTCGTCTCGGGGCCGGGGGGTTCGCAAAACATCGCGACTCGAGCTCTAAGTCTCTTGTCGTGTCAATACATCCTGGCCCCGGCCCCCCTCTTTCCCCGGTTGGTCATCCGAGGAGCGAGCTCACTCGCCTTACTGCATGAGACTTTCACTTAGGAAGACATCTGAATTTGATCTTTGGTCTGTAGGATTCTAGGCTCCTTGACTGACACCGCCATTATCAGATAAAGCCGCAGCACCGCTTATACAGCCAACAACCCAACCGGCTATGAGCGTGTCAATCGCTAACGAAGTGAGTCTACATACTAGTAGGCAGTTGTCTCACATACAGTAGACCTCGGGGAATGGTTAGATTGAGAAGGGTCGCGTCCGGCATCTATCCCCCGGAGTCTTGGAAAAAGCTTGATTCCGCGTTAATCTCGTATACTGGCACTTGGATGTGGGGATGTAGGGTTGGCATGCAGGGAATGAGTGAGGCACAGAAATGGAAGTCATCCCCGGGTTTGTTGCGCCGTTATGCCGGGAGGAGTACGCTTGTACACGGTCTCTTATTGAAGGCAGATATCTGATGTGAGATTGAAATCAAAGATTTCGGGATCGCTTGTCTCGTGCTGACCTTTGTTTGTTACGACCTTGTACCAGATACTTCATGAACACGCAAGCAAACAGGAGAGAGGTGCTGAGACAAGGCCCCCACGTTCTTCCAAGATGACCGCAATTTTTTACCAATTTCTTCAGTGGCAGAGAGTGTTGACAATCGAACGGACTCGTACCAGACGGCGATGGTTTTCTGATTAAACCAGGTATGAGGTCTAGGCATGCCGGCTTCGGCTACACATAACAACCACAGCATTGCAATAAATCGTACGATGAACGTTATGTTATAACTGTTTTGAATGACAAATCGTTATCTCTAGCTAAACATATCCCCGGACAATCTCAGGGCATCATCAGAATTCTCTATACTCGGTTGAAAGGATACGACGATGGTCATGTGTCAGCAATGATATGTAACCTCTACTGATTCCCGAATTGTCCATGAAGTACAAAACGACCTCTCAAATTCGGGCGCCCAGCAACGGGTCAATGATTTCATCTCTGCCAGGAGCGAAAACGCTTGGATCAATAGATTATGACACCAAACGCCGATATACGCAAAAAGCGTATTTGCTGGCATGTTTCTAATAATCGAGAGTAATCAGTCTCTACAATACGAGGACTGACCAAAGAAATTTGCCTTCCGAGTAATGCGACGGGAAACAACCCTGTCCATATTGTGAACACATATACCAACCAGATTTGACCGCGAAAAACCGTTCATCTAACTGGCAATGTCAAGTTTAGGCGTGAGTTGAATAACTCGTGGAACTGGTTGTGTGGAACCCTGGCGACGGACTAGTCTGCTAAGGCACTGCAGATAACATGCAGAAATTGGGGAAGCCCATGAGGAATAATGGCATCACAATTCCAGTGCAATGGAATGAATAGCCAATTATCTGACAGCCGGTACTCGCGACACGACTCAAGTTATTGTGCAGCCGGCCGACGTATGATATGGCTGCCAGGCCAATTGCGAGAGCTGAGCTTCCTAGTTCTTCTGTGTACCTCACGTATGTGCCTATCAAGGCACATGTCTTTTTCATAATACCGCATTGGGTGAGTCAAGTTTCCAAAAAGGGTGAAGATGAGATTGAACCCAGAAGCTGCCCAACATATGACACAAACAGATTGGGCCAGTGTATCTCCGGCTTACCTCCAGAAAAAACCGAAACTGGGGGACAGTGCATAGCATGTGATTACCTTACCTAAATATATAGGAACTGTGATCATCATTCGCTGATGGATGACAAGAGTGCAAGCCTCTAGAAGTAGGGTGTGATACACAAAAACCCGGGGATCCGGCACCTCGTCTGGCAATTCGAAGTCCCCAGACCTAACTTGCCTGAAGCGCG